TATTTTCGACTATATACATTAGAATAGTTCGTACGCGCAGTGACGAATCCTTAAGTGGAATCTCGCTGTGTGTGTGTACACAGGGTTCGACATTTTTTCCAAAGGGGTCAGACTGTAATATAATTATATACTCGAATTGGGAAAAAAACAAATTGAGGACGGACGCTGATTTTAGTTAGAAACCGTCGTTCCGTACCCCAGATAAATGCGATATACAGCGTGACCCATGGTGGGTTTCGTCCCCCCTCCAATGCAACACCTACAAGTAAACTAAATAACCAATCACGATAATAAAAACAATGAAAAATAAATATATAAAATACCTTACTATTAACAACACTATCAAACACCTATAATAAATCTACCTTCGAAAAAAAAAAAAAAAAAATCATTGTTAACAAAATACGAAATCACAAGCTTAGAATTTAAAACAAAATCTAAAAAAACAGATATCGTTATTTTGTACTAAAATTTCCCTCTTATTCTCGTGGTTTTTCCCCAAATTATTAATAAAACTACGTGGAAAATAAAAAAAACGATATTCTAAAGCACTAACTAGACACATTTTGGCACCCTTGAAAATACCCTTAATATTGACGCAGTTTTACTATTTATAGTGTATTTTTAGCAATTTTACTGATTCACTTATTTGACTCTTAATGGGCTGGTGTCGATTTACACGCATACTAACAGCACATATAGAAAACAGTTTTTCGATCAATTTTTCTATGCCGTATCTTATAAATGATGCAAACTGTCACTTCAATTTACCTAATTAGAACATTTTTTTAAAATATCCGAAAATGTTTTCGAAAAATTACTTTTTGTGTGTATTTTGGTGACTAAAATGCTCTGATTTTTTACGCAGTAAACCTTAGAAAAAAAAACTAGAACATTTTTTTATTCTTGGACCTTTCACCTTATTGAATCGTTCGGTTAATGGACTCAAATGCTCTGATGTCAAAGCAAGTCCATTGATTACGGTATATTGTTTTTGTTTTTACACTCGTTTGAAATTACCTTTTATTACAACATAATCGAGAAATAACCATGTAAATGTATTTTAAATGGAATCGTCAAGTATTATTATTTTATTTTTCGTTTGATGTGTTGATGTTATATAGGTACTTTAGTGTTACATAACTTTCATCAAACTTTCGAAAATAATACGCACGTTGCGTGCGGCTAAACCGCAGACGGAAAATCGACTTTTTTAACAGCACGGTTCGGTATGTTTGCTTTACAACTCAATCAAATAATTTTAAATTAAAATACATTTTACAAGGCTAATAATGAAATAAATAAACCGTTTGGATGCGATTCGATTTAAAATATTTTCTAATATTTCATTCCTATATATATAGATAAGGGTAAGATTTAAAAAAAAAAAGAAAATTGTAAATGGGATTATTAAACGATTCTGATGATGATGATAATAATATAATGTCTGGAAAAAAACCGAAATTAAATTTACTTGAAATCTTCGTTGATAATCGATAAGGGTGACAATGGGTAATATATGCGCGGCGATGAATCTGAATCAATCCGTACGATATAATTTTAATATCGTATTCGATTTGAACTGCACACAACTAAGAAAAGAGAATAATATTTACAACACTTTAACAATAATAATAATAATAACAATGCGATGTGATTATTCGAGTATATCGTTCAACACAAATATTATACGCGATTTCATCCGAGAAAATTTAATTAAAAAATAAACTCTATATTTGTATGTACAATCAAAACCAACGAGTCTACCCTACCAAATATATATACATAGAGTTGTAAAACCGTTTGTAATAATATGTGTTTTCCCTTACATATTATTATTTCGCTATGTGTTTATTCTCTAGACCGGTCGTTTATTATACAGTTTTTTTTTTTTAATTTTTATATTCTAGCTGCTGCGAAACGTTCACGAACAAAAAAAAAAAACAAAAACACTGAAAAATAGTGGAAAAAAAAGGGAGAAAACATAAATCGCGCGGGCCATAATTAAAAGGATTATTTCGTGCGGTCGAGACGGGACCGACCGTCAACCTGTCACGCGGAACTGTGAATTTATGCAAACCGCCACCTGACCCGAACACATGTCGCCCGTGGCGGACACTGACGCGACCAAAATGCTCTGAAATAATATAATTTAAACGTATGCCGAAACACACCTATCCGTTTAGTGCAAAATGTGCAGTGCGATCGTAAAAGATATATACCCTATATGTTGTCCCTATTCCGAAAAGTTGTCCGCACAAAACTGCATGTAAAACGATCGGAAATAATTATTTTGAACAATTTAAACATACTCACAGACAAACATTTCCTGAACGGTTTCAATTTTGTATAAACGACGAAAAAAAAGATTGGGCAATATCTTTTTTTTTCCTAATAACAAGTATATTTAGTAATTGTACCGAATTCTTGAGTAATTTATACGGGGCCAACAATTTTTAACAACGCAAATCAACTACTGCATAAATCTTGAAAACTTCTAACAGTTATTCATTAATTAATGTATTATAAAATATACGGCAAGCCTTTTTAAGTAAAAATTAAGTAACATTACAACATACATATTAGATCATATAGATACAATTTTGAAGTAAAAATGAAAACCATAAAAACAATAACTAAAAATAAAAAGGTCTTATAGGTTTTTTTCACATGCATTTGGTAGTACTCAAAAGTATGAGGAACGCTGAAGAAACGAAAGGGTTGTTGGAGAACTATAAAATTAATTAAGGAAAGCAATGACAGAAAATTAACATCACCATGGTTGTAAAATGGGTAACTCAAAAATGAACAAACGTCTTTAGATATCATAGACTTCCACATTATTCCTCACTGGATCACGAAGAAAAAAAAACGAAAGAAATTGCTGTTAAAAAAATCCGTCGTCGCGTAAGTATCCCTATTTTTTTTAGAGGTTTTTTTTCTCGGAAAAAAATACACAGAATTCCAAACAAAATACTTTCTCATAATGCACCGAGTAGATTCAAAATACTTCCCTAGAAAGCTTCAACGAAGTTTTATAATTTGAGTAAGTTTTTCCGTCGAAAACTTGTGAACAGACAGTAAAAAAAAAAAACGCAAAGAGTACAAATTCTGATCAAAAAACGAGGATTAGGTATAGTTATATTTTAAATGGCTAAAATAATCAATATTTATACGTTATAAATATATGAAAACAAAACCGCTATTATTTAATATAAAAATAATCGAACAATTTTGCCAGGGCATGATAGTAAAAATGTATAAAATATCGCAAGCAGCAACTTTTAATATTGTACGCGTAAAGTCAAAAATAAATTGATACAATATGTATACGAGTTTATCATAAAAAGCCAACTGCAATAGCTATTATTTACATCGAATGCAAACAAGTCGTAGTTTGTTTTTTTGCAGCATTTGCGGCAATAAAATGTCACGCCAGTGTCCAATAAACTTAAAAATATTATAATTTTGTTAACGAAGTCGTTCGTACTGAAGGAATTTAATAATATTGTTAGTTTTTAATATTATATTTGTATAAGTATTGTTTGTAAAACAAATACAATTATCGTTTCTAGTTCTATAATCTCGCGTATAAAATTGCGTTAAAACATTATAATAATAGAAATACATTTTATAAAATTTATTAATATTATAATTTAAAAAAAAAAAACTCTACCTTAGTAAATATAATATTACGGAATACGCTAATATTTTGCTTTTCAAAAGACTGTTTTATACTGTGATATGTTAACACCTTTTTTCACTCACTTTCTCTCTCTCTAAAAGTCACGAGTCATTAGGCGTTAAAAGGCCAACTTTACTTTACAATGAAGGGTTCATTTATTTAGCGAAACATTTTTTTTTACTTGAAAGAAATTGTAAACGGAACTTTTTCTCGCCTTTATCGCGAGGCGCCGCCCCGCCTGAGTGGTATAATTATTATTTGAAACATAACAAAAGGGATTTTAAATAGGGTAATTTGCGCGCTGATACCTACTCGAAATGTTTTGGCATTTGAAACATTATTGTACGATGTTAAACTATATATGGGCATTTTTGTACGCATTCAGTGTTGGAATTTACCTTTATTATCCAACACTTTTACCCTCTAAGTAGTCTTAAAATAAAATAGTCGTTAAAATCTACAATATTGTTTCATATCTGTATAGTATATACTTTTATATAGTTGTTTAAGCCATAAAAATTATTAAATAAGTAAGCCTATTGGGGAGAGAAAAATACTCAAAATATCGAAAATGTCCATACAAAAGCAAAATAAAAGTTCCTAAACAGAGTTAATAGTCGAGCTTGGAGTTTCTTCTACCTTAAAAACCGTTGTATTCCAACGCACCGATTTTGTAAGGAGTGTTCAAAACTTTGCGGGGGGTTGTGACCCGATTGCTCCCTTTAACCCCCCGTGGTTACGCCGCTCAGTGTTATTGTATACTCTGAGGGGTTTGTTATAAGAATGTATATGAACAAATTGAAGGGACACAAAAGAACGGTTAAATTTGGACGTAAAAACCGCGGTGCTCGGAGAGTGGTTTTTTTCAAAATGCAATTATATTATTAATCATTTAGGGTAGGTATTTAAAAAACATAAAACTCAAAAACATTCACCCCCGAAACGAGACCGCCACGACAATAGCTGCAGTCGCGCGAGACGAGTGAAGCGTGAAAAGTGCTTAACGTCGGAACCACCGCAGTCGAGTCATTTTTTTTCCCGACCTTTGATGTCACGTATTAAATAATTATTTTTAAAGCCGTTTCGGTTCTTTTACACGTCAATAATTTTTGATCCCGCGAAACAATTACGCTTTCAATTACAATAGTTTTTTAAGGAAAATACCACAACTGGAAGGACTGGAAGTCACGTTAAATGTTTGAAATTTAACTGGTAAAAAACCATATAATATGACGTTTAATAACTGCGGGCCGAGAAACATGTAATACGCATATATAATGCGATATTTTCGGATTAAGGGAAGTGCGTAATAGTTAGGCATTGAAGCACTGTGTGTATGACAAATCGACACCTTCTATACATTATACAGCTATAGGTTGTGGGAATCTCATTTGAAAGTCCAATTCGAAAGTTCCGTTTCCACTGTGTCACATCTGCGGAGAAATGTCCCGTACCCGAACGCGTCAACGCGGACCCTGCACGTACGTCGCGATCTGTTGCCGGTGACATCTGCCGAGACACGGATAACCGACTGGAAATTCGCACTCATACTGCGAAAAGTTTACGTTCACTGAAACCCCTCCGGCAATAATATTCTACACTTTGAGGTAAACCACCGAGTGAGATAATATTATATTTTCGTATTTTCTCTTTATTTCGTGCGATGAAAAACAACCGGACGAGCAATAAGAATTTAGGGAACGCGCTCGTTCGAGAAGTGTATCCACGAGAAGTTTAAATGTACCGCGAAGATAATCGTTCCGAAGAGAGGGAAGAGAGAGGGGTAGGAAAAAAAATAAACGTTAAATGGTCCGGAACAAAAAACACCGCGAGTGAATCTCGGAGAATTCTTCGCATTCGCGAAAAGAACGAATTTATCACGTTTTGAAGAAATGTGAAACGTAGGTGGGGGAGAGGGGGCGTGGATAGGGACTATTAATAACGATCTTAAGTATACAGAGTATGCGTGTAACGGTGAATAGCGTTTTTTCGAAAAATGATAAGAAGCGAGCTCGAAAAATGACGGCTGCGAATCTGTTGCCAACCTGCAATTTTTCGACATTTCACTCAGTGACCGACCAGACGTGATTTCGTATAATAAATCGAGGGTTATTTTCGATTAAATTCCTGGAGGAATGGTGGCCGAAGACTTGTGGACGTGGCGCTTCACAGCTTATGTACACAGCTTTGCTATTTTAAGATAACTTCATTGGCAACACGAGCCGGCAGTACTTTTTTTGTTTTCGTACCGTTATCTGCATTTGTCGGATCCTTATCATTTTCAAACAAGTGCCCCTAACCCCATTTCAATACGTATATAAAACCGTTTCCTGTTCACGGCTACCGATTATTAGCGGACGTATAAATATCGATAAAATAACGGCGCCTGCAATTGTTCCGTATACGATTGCATTGTTCTTGTGACGTGAGAGGGTGCTGCAGAAACACCGCGGTACACAATAAAAAGGGGCGCTTCCGTGGCAGCTGACGGGTAATTGTCAACCCGGCACATAAAAGGTATAGTGATGAAAGGAGGGGGGACGTGGATTGACAACATCGTGTATTTGAACAGGGTGTTAAAAACATCGGGTATTGTGTCCTACAGCTCCGCACCGAAGTCGTTCTGCTGCACAGTTGTTTTTTTTTTTGTGCGTCGCACAATGGCCCCGAGTGGAATATAACGCGCGAGTGGGTGTGGAAATATTATCGGCTAGTGATTTGTTCTTTTTTTTTTTTTTCTGATAGACCAAAAACAAAGTAAATACATTTCGTTCGACCGAACGATTTATTATATTACATGGGGGACGATTTATTGCGGCGTTAAGTGAATACGTGTTCTATTTTTATCTACTAATCGATACTTCAATACAACGTAGACTCTTGTTCTCTATGTGACATTTTACGTATTTAACCAATTCGTTCTCGAGAAGTATAACGTTCGGTTTAAATACTAGTTTGACTAATAATTAAAATCATTTGTTTTCTCCGTGTATTTAACCAAAAATCAAAAAAACAAAAAAAATATCCAAAATTCAGGCGTGATACTTATAGAAGAAAATAAAACTTGAAAATCCAGCTTCGAGATGTTCGACATTTCATATTTCATATTGATTTTATCCGAAATCATTGTAATTTGTCGTCGGTTTATGCGATTTTTCGGAAAGTATTTGAATTTTATTTAAATAATAAACTATAAGCGCGGGGAATACGCGTATTTTGAGGTGCGATGTGCACTTAAATACAAAAAGTATAAATAGATAAGTAGCATAAATAAAAAAAATAAAAACATCTGAAATCTGAATATAATCCCAATAGCATCCTCCACTCAGACTCTAATAAAGTCCATACAATATAATATTATTTTTTATATTCCGAAGAAATTTGATATCCTTTCTATATAAGTCTGTCTTTTCGCTATACAAATCTATAGTTTTATTCCTATTTCGATGAAACTTTGCACTCTTAAAAATCAACATTAAAAACAAAAGGGAGGCTCATGGTTGATTTTAAAAATCCGTTATCGTTAACTTGGTTTGACTGTTACATATAAGGAAGTATCATTTCTCATTTAGATAAATTATCGGTCAACGACGATCGACTTCGATTGGGCTTGTGGCGGACACAGAGAGACGCGTTCAAATAAATCACTATTTGCGTTTTCGAACGGATCGATACACAACTGGTTGAGTGTAAAAATATGTTTACTGAACACCATTTATACATCATTAAAACCGATGTCGGACGTTACCGGTTATCCGCTCGCGCGCACGTAATACACGGGACCGACGCGTTGCACGCAATTATCGTTACTATTGCGTTCATCAATCTTTGTACTCACGCGCGCAGTGGCAATACTCGCGGTTTTCAAAGACGAAAATAATTACACAGAAATCCGGTTTGACGTATCGCGCGTGGGGAAAAATTGAATCCGGTTTTTTTTTGTCCCCGGACGAGGTACGATTCGCCACGGATAAACGGGCCCGCCCCGGTCGCGCGCTCGCAACCCATTACCGGACTGTACCGACACGGTCAATTACACGGGGATACACGAGAACCAAAAACGAAATAGTATAATGCGGAATATCGAAAACATATCGTCCGGCATTGTTGTCCGCGCGATCATAAATCGGGGCTTAAAGTCTCCCGGACGCGAGCGGCCCGCCGCCACCGCCGCCACAACAATAACGCCGCGATAATACGCTGCGGGAAACGTATTCGGGAACGATACGCACGTGTATACAATAATAATAATATTACGATTCGTTTGAATATAAAAACGCGGTGTAGTCGAATAATATTTCTATATCGATAGAATTTTGAACGCGCGATCGCGTAACCCTGCAGCGGTTTTCAACAGGGGTGACATGTCACCCTGGGGTCAACGTGGACCCGGTGTGAAGGTGCCACGAAATCCTCCGAAAAAAAATGAAAAAATAAGATAATTTTCGATTTTTCCAAACAAAATCGTATTATTGCTGTCAATCGCCACCGCCACTTCTGCTACGAAAATTGTGTGCACTAAACGGGTCCACCACAAAGTTCCTGTCGTTAAACTATTTCTAATTTCTATTTATTCAAATGCATTTACTATTTTTATGCGAACGGTATTTTTTTTTTTTATTAAAATCTACAGATTTTCGAGGTTAAGGCGACGTAGTATTAGACTGTCGTGGATAAGGTTTACATGGCTTAAAAAAGGTCGAGACCCACTGGTGTAACCCATAGAGTAATATACAAATGCCGTTTCGTCTGTATATTGAAACACAAAAAGTTTCTATTTTACAGGATCATACATATTTTATAAAAAAAAATATAATCGTAATTCCTATATTATGTAATCCTAGGTAACATATTTAAGTACAGGCAACATATCGTACCAAATATTTTACAATATTTTTTGTACCCCGAAAGTAATGGTACTGTAAAATAGAAACCATTTGCACATCAACTCGTTGTACGATGTAGGAGACGGCCACTCTATATTATACTCTATGGTGTAACCGGACGAATTTCACGGCGGCGTTGATATTAACGTTCACATTAAAATGCACGTAAAAGCAATACAGTTGTATAATACGATTTGTTCGAATCGTCACCGTCTCTCGATAAGAAAACGTTAATATACGTACTTATACTTACGTTTTAAACTTCAAAGCCGGCGAGTTAATTGAAATATACTACGCGCGCGGAAAAACGACGTACGGTTTCACCGTGACATTCACTACATACAAAATGCATAATATTATAATAACTCACTTTTACAGACTTCTCCAAAGTAAAATATTGTAGAAAATTATGGAAATACGTTTCGAACGTATATATATATATATGAGCACCACCCGTATACAAATCCCTTAGAATTTTATAAATGTAGTCGTGTATTTTCGTCGTTCGACGTTTTTTTCTTAGTTTTTCTCGATTATTAGCAAGATTAATTTCACATACCTTACGAATGCACCGACAAAATGCTTCATGAAAACTCCTAAATATATATGAAGGATTTTAATGGACAAAGTCTTCTGCGGTTAAAACCATGATGTTTGATAGACAGAAAAAATAATATGGGAATACATTTAAATCTATAAAAATCACACATTATTGTAAGACTAATATAAACCTAGCTCCACACAGAATTTCAAATGCGACAAGTTCAAAATACAAAAGCGTCGAGGCTAATCTATAGAAATTTATTCCGAACGAATAGTATCTATAATTAAAACCGCACGGAAAACCATCATCACGTAACGTAAATTAACGGTTTTTACGAAATGAAAATGTGTCCGCAGATGTAAAAGAAAGTTGACAAGATAGAATACACATAGAGTCTTTTACAACATTTTGAATATCTAGACTTTAACAACTCGAAAATAATCAAAAATGAGTTGATAAGAACAAAAATGCAATAAAAATTAGTCGAATTATTGTGCACTAAAGAGATCTTATTGTGTTTTCGAATAACAAATTTGGATTAACACATCCAGTTTTAAAGTGGATCAAGTAGACTTATTGTGATTAATTCATATATTTATGAAACATTAGTAAGGCCAGGTTAGAATATGTTGTACCAAGAATTATATTCATACATAATTTATTTCGTGTTTTATATTTGAATAAATATTCGTTACATTTTTAAATCACTCCCCTAAAAAAGAATCCTTTTTTGAGTTGTTGCATTCTTAAATCGGATACTCGATATAAGCATTACTGTTTTGCCAGAACAGTAACCTAAATCTAACAATACAATATTATTGTATCCGGATTAAAAACCGAACAAAAACTAAACAAACTATCGCATAAATAACACGAAAATTTTATTTTAACCGCGTCTAAAAATGAAAATGAAAATCGAAAATAATGAAACCGTCGCATCCGTAAACGTTCCGGCTTTTCAGTTGTTCGCAGTTGTATTAGTTATGAAATTAGGTACTGAAGGAAAACCGAAAGAATCGCATCGTCCCGCGAACGGTGCCGACCGGATCCGAAAAAGAGAGAGAGAGAGAGAGAGAGAGAGAAAAAACTATTTATCCGGTCGTTTCGCCGCGATCGGATCGAGCGCGATGTTCCCGGCGGAAAAATCGTAGTTTATCGCGCGTTAAAGCGAAACCTAGTGCATGCACTCCAACGGTCCGCTCAAAATTCGAAAAAAAAAAAACTCCGTCCGTTGTACGATATAGTATAATAGGCCGGCGCGCGAATAAATCGACGGGGGCAAACGGCCGTCGATTTACCGGTCGAACACGCCGAAATCTAATCAACCCCGCCGCCGGCGACATCACTTGCATATGTCCCGGCAGTGCCGCGCGCGCGACATTATTTATAGACGGGTCGACCGTGCCGAGGTGGAAAAGAACGTAAATCACGCGGACAACACACGGATATACGTGGCCGCCGTATTATTATATTATCGTGTGTAAATTCCCGTCCGAAATGCGCGCGGACGGGGAGGCGCGGAAATTATTTTCCGAACCGCCCGTAAATACCGTCGCGTTCAACGGTTTTCGGGCGCACGCGAAAATAATAATAATAATAAAAAAAAAAAACCGAAGTCCGCGCGTTGTTTTTTACCGAACCGAAGCGAATAATATATATATTTTTTTTTTGTTTTTACGGTCGTCTCCGGGGCCGTCGATTCGCGTGCCCGCGCGCGGTATGCGACGCGCGGCGTCGTTCCCGCGTTCCCGAATTTCCAATGACGTTTACATTTACATACGTTTTATTTCTTTTATCGGTGAAATGTGTCTCGCAGGATAACGCCGGTGAATTCGGAAGTGTATAATATAATAATATACGCGAGCAAATATTTTATATACATATACCAGAACGTATCGACCGGGGATCGTTTACTATACACGTACGGTACTCGTACGGGGGAGGAGGTGGGCTGGAGACCGTGAAATAATTCACTTTTCATTTCGACTTTGTGTACTGCGTGCTAGAAAAAATAAGCAAACCGCAGATTGTAAAACACAGCGCGCGACGACGGTAGCTGCGCGGGAAATGATACAATAAAACACCGCCGCGGTTTGGAATATTTCGGACGCGAGATAATATTTTTCCCGGAAACACGACAATACTTTCTTATTTTTTTTTCTTCGTATACATGAAATATGTTTGAATAATTTGCATATAATAATATCTTGTTTACTGTTTTTTTTCCGTATATATATATATAAATATATACGCGCGTCGTGGTATATACGGGCAGAAACTTTTTAGTCCGGTACGTTTAACGATCCGAACAGTATATTATTTTTTTCCCCGTTCCCTGTCCGTAAGAGACTATAGTATAATGTGGAGTAGACTTTCCGCACGGACGAATAAAATTTATGCGGCGTTTTTCTTCGTCTTTGACTTGCCAGCAGACGGCGGCGGTGGCCGGTTTCGGCGTAAAATTTGAATCTCGCGCACTTTTATTCTTTTCGTATAATATATGGTAAAAAGCCAACAGAGAGTGTTTTATTAGGTGCATATTTAAATAATTTATAATATACAGGAAAAACAATATATTATAATACATTTCTAAGTGTCAAATGCAAAAACAAAAACAACGGTTTGTTCAGATTTTCGATATTTTTTAGTTTATTTTTGTTTATTCGATTTTAACTTTCGAACAAGTTTATTGTAAAAGTATTTCTGATTTTAACGATTCGCAATTACTTAGGGCTAACATTTTATACTGGTCACTTGGCACAAAACGAATCTTGTTTCGGTTATAGGTTAAGTCATGTGTAATTTTTCAGAGAGCCGGAAAAAGGAGACTCGAGGCACGCACGGAAGAAGTTTAGCGAACTATAGGGATGCAATATAGACCTTAAGGATAACCACCATAAAGAGTACGAAGAAAAGATGGAATATAGACACTGTCGATCGGTGGACGGCGGTCCGTGGGGAATACCACATGTTCTCACTCTCTAGGCGCTTACATGAAATCGTGCAGTTTCTGTTTCCTTTGGAAACATTCGTGAATTGAAAAGCTACTACAGCGACGGAAAATATCGGTACAATCACTGCCGATAAGCTCGGGGAACTTGCCGGCTGTCTGCCACTGGGCAAAGCCTCGGGTTCCGGCTACGAGCCGGATGCATTGGTGAATGCCGTAATTATGAAAAAACCTACAGGAATCATCAATGTTTTCAGCTAAAATCTAGAGACAGGCGTTTTTCCGTGATTTCGAAAATAAGCCAGGCTAGTTTTGATCAGTAAGCCATGAAAGCCGCTCAACTTATTCTCTTTCTATCAACTTCACAGTCAATATACCATTGACGAGATATTCGAGCGTGTGTGATAAAAATAGATTGGAGGCCCACACCCGATATCCTCAATGGGCTATCTAAAAATTAGTTTGGCATTTGAAGAGACTGATCGAATATAATAGTGAATTTCAAAAAAAAAAAATCGTTTTTATATTTTAAAAATCGATTTATTTGTAATCACTAGCAGCTTTGAATATACCTGTATAATATACCTACGCAATAAAAGTTGTTTTTGTTCTTACGGTATTTTGTCTCGCGGTTGAGTATCTTCAACACAATTTTTTCGCCGTAAAGAAAAACTTTTTTTTGCCCCCGAATATTTATAGCATATTGAGTTCGGCTTTGTTGGCGTCCGTCCAACGGGTAAGACGGGTAATGGCCATAATAATGAGTTTACGAGGAATAGATGATGGGGGATCTATAAGGGGTTTTAGAAAAAAACGCCTCACCATAAAAATATACTCGAATATAAATCCCGCATTTACCTAGGTGTATGCACGAAATATTTCTTAAACTTAAAATATTATAGATGTTATACAGCGCGATTCAAAAGTCTTCGTTCGATTACGGATGGATATAGCTCATGCGAACGACTTATACATTATTTTTTTCGTTTAGATGTATTTTTATTTTTTCGCTGATAAACGCATGTCTCGTAATGAACATAGTGAACCGCCGACGTCAGTTATACTATATTACAGTGTCGATATGCAACGGAAAGCTGCATGTGGCGTCCTTTAACGTTGTATAGCGTTTTTCGTTCGACTACACTCGTGCACACTATACACACACATACACGCAGATAATATCACACTCCACGGGTGTACCTGCAGGTATTATAATATATGATATAAAGTGAAATATAATTGGCGTAGTATCGTAATATATCTTGTTAATTTGATAATAGTTATCAAACTAAAATACGAATCGCATACTAAATACTAATATCAAATATTATAATCTACACCGTCACATCGTCAAAATCGATGGTGTCGTTTATTTACACTCGTGTAGATTATTATTATATTGCAGTACGCACCGTCATATGGAATTTGCGTTATCTACTGCACCGGTGATGGTGTAGGTGACAGTATAGGCAAAAAGTGTATACGAGTGCAGTCAGATGGAAAACGCTGTTATATCTGATCAAAACGAATCTGTAATAAAGCTTGATTTTCGAAGAACTTATGCCGTGACACGACTACACGATCAGCAATACGTGTTTGGGAGGAATCCGAATATCTACCTGCCGTATATTAGACGTGTGATGGGCTACCAGGAGGGCGGAGGGGATGTTCGTATTATAATTTTTTGAAACAAATACGAATTTTTGGACGCGGAGATTATTGAATTGCTTTGTATTACGTCCGTGTGTCGTCGTCGTCGTGCAGCAATCGTAACAAATTATATTTTCAAATAACGCCGTGCAAGTACACCTACCCGCTTACTCGCAAATTTGAATAAATCCAAATACCTACCGCCTTGATTTACATAATAAATATTCTTATACCTACCTGTGAGGTGTTCGTTTAAGAAATATACAATTCCGTTTAACAATTGACCTATTGTTTTAGACAACATTTAAGTTATTCAATAGTACTCGTACGTATATAGATAAATCTCTTGTGGTTTCTGTACAGATTTTGTATTGCTAATAGGCAATAGTACTATAACTAAAAAAAAAAAGAAGAAAACACATTTGTTTGAAATGTATAAAACGATTCTTATCAGTACCTACCTGCATGTAGGTACAATTAAATAAAGCCTACGCGTTTTCATTATATAATGCATTTAAATGCACTTAACGCATTTTAGTTTTTGATACGCCGTATATACGGTCAGGGTACAATCGTGATTTTTCTTGAAGTTAATAAGCGTGGGCTACAGCAGAAATAACCAATCGATAAGCCGGATATTATTATCACGACGACGACCAATTAATTCGTCCGCGATTACCATATAAACGACTTTTCGTCCAGTATCGTCATCAGATTTAACATCTAGAATCTAAACAAGTCATTAGACAACTACTTAAACAGAAAATTAATCGAAACCATTTTATTTGTAAGTATAATAGCTAAATTTGTTGTACCAACATGCTTAATTCATTTGTATATAATTTATGTGGCTTCTCGATATTTCCCAAGTAAAACAATAAGAAAACAGCGTATATTTTCGTTTTTGATTAGATTGCTATAATATATTTTTCTTCTGCTTCTCCTACAGTCTCTAGTGATCTAAGAATCATCCAATCTCACACTCAATTCTCCATAATTTACATCATCCAATAATCCCATGTCATTTTTTGTATTAAATACTCTCATATCGTTCTAGACCTTTAGAAAGGTCTTATTCCATACAGGTTCTGCTTGATCGCCAGCATTTATCAGTTCATTTTGACTTCTACGAGCATGTCCTGCTCCATTGTAATCGTATTCTTCGTATTATATTTTTACCTACTTTTATGTTTTAGACTTCGCTCGTTGATTTTCTATACGATTTACTGTAAGGTACCAGCCGGTGTTATATACGATTTCTAATATTTATTTTATCGTCCAATTAATTCTTAATTCGAAATGCCGTTCGGGAAAACAAATTAATTAACGAGTCTTCGGTACGGTATCTATATTTCTATAGATCAATAAAAACACTACTTTTAATTAAAATATACGTCACCTCGATGAATATTATAACATATTATAACTATATTGCATCAGCGGTCTCGTCAATGTTTCATCTGCGTGTACGAGTTCAAAAGAAAAACGGGAGGAAAAAAAATATCCCGGAATTGAGTCCTACGGCGATGGTGAGCAGCGAGTATATATAAAGAAAACAACTTGTCGCCGTTAATAAAAAGAAAAAGGGAAAAAAAGATGATGCCCGAGTCTGTTTACGTGTTGATTAATGGACAATCGGGAGACGGAAGGGAAACGACGACGGTGAAATTTTGATTTGTTTGTTTCGTCTGTTCCGTTGCCAAATGACCCGGCTACCGAGTAAGTAAGTATATACATATTATTATATTTATAAAAGACGTCCGAAAACGCGCGATATTTTAACACCACAACAGCTATTCTCCGGCAGTGTCAACCGCTATATGGTTTATTACGGACTATTAGGTTGCGGTGTGGCTTTTGCTGCTGGGGGGACTCGGTTTGTGTCTTATATATATATATATATTTAGGACGACAGTGCTGCTACTGCCGCTGCTATAAAGCTCTTGTGTTTTTGACTTCATCGAAGTATCACACGCAATAGTTTTTTTTTCTTCTTCCTCGTCATTGCGTCCGCGTATACATGTTACGTGCAACACTGCGCTCGAACGTAAACGCTATACCAAATGAAAAACGCACAAGAATCCGTAATTCGACGCGATTTTCACATTGCTATTTGGATTGTCTGAATTGTTAACCGGCTGTATAACGCCATTATTATTCTGTTATTATCGCGGACGAACATCTTAAAAATCGTCGAGACAACAACTGCATCGATTTCCACATCCGTCTCTTGTTCCGCGGTTAATGTATATAAATGAAATGAAAATTATACACACCGATAATTGCAAAAGTTCGCGGTATTTTCAAATTTCAAATACCTAGCGTAAAAATATATTTTTTACAGCACGTCAATTTGTCTCCCCTCGGTGCCGCCAATACGTTAAATAATAATAATAATAATAATACAAAAAACAGAAATAAACCGAATCATTTGTTTAGCCGGTACATCTCGTTTCTACAACATTATTTATCTACTGTGTATAGCGGATAGGTATTACCTACTAAAAGTCGATTTTCCATCCACTCGTATTGTGTTTTTTGTCATTTTCAATTTTTAATTTTTAGGTCAAAAGATTAAAAAATACACCGTGTGTGAATGAATTTCAACAACAACCATTTTTAATTAATTTTTATTATTATTTTTTTTTTTGTTAACTTAAAATACGAAGTGATTATGACGGTGAAAAAAATGTATAATTTATGCGGTGTCGATTTGATTACCGTTTGTTTGTTTTTTTTTTTTGTTTTGTAATTAAACCGAAAAATTCTCCGGTATACAATACATATATTATACGTATATCAATATTTGCAGTTGTTGTTACCCGGGTAAAATAAATATTATTTTATTTCTCGGGCGATAATACAACCCCGTCTTCTCATTATAACCGTTAGATAGCCCCCCTTGAAATAAATGCCAAATACCGGTTTGATTAGATATAATATTGAATGTACCGCGATTGATTTGCTAAATTAAACGTATTTTTCCCCACGTTCGTCGTCTAACAAAAAAAAAAAAAAAAAATATAATATTGTTTTGTGACGGAATCGATTATCCCCGATCCTAATAAATAATAAAGCGTTTAGACAGCACGGGGGGTTTTCAAAGTAATAAAATACCGAAAAGATTACGGGCCGAAAGAAAGAAAGAAAAAATAAAAGAAGGAAATAATATCAATATCGCAGTTCTGGGGGCTGGAACCCCCTTGTAATGTTTAACAAATTATAACTAATTTAAAAAAGGTATTATTATTTTTTTTTTCACCTAGCGCACACCTATACACACGTCGCGGGGCACATGCTATTTAATTTATACTCTCTCACCTCAGCGGGCGGCTGCGCGGCGGCTCGTTATTTATCAAATAACCGAAACATCCCCTCGCCGCGTTTCTCGTTTAATCGTATTTTTTTTATTTTTTTTTTTTTTTTAATAATAGTAATAATCTTCGGATTTAATAACAGTAACTGCGATAAAGGCGATGATGCCCGGGTTTCGGATTTCTTTTTATAAAGACAAAAGAGGACGAGGCTATACGCGGATTGTGTATGACACAGAAACGCCGCACGAGACAAAAACTATACGCACGCCAGAGCTAAAAACGCGTTGAGTTTCCAGCCGATTCTTGCCAAGCTGTTGTAATTTCGCGCGTTTGTCTAACTTATTAATTAGGTACCTATATATACAAAACCGTATCGTTTCGTCTTCGGTGTAGTATGCAAAGAACGTTTTCTGTCTCTAAAGTACGAATTTATGCATAGATAAAATCAACAAAAAACTCGCTCGAGAACTTCGATAAAACCCTGAAAAAAAAGCACTTGAGCACACATTTTTGCTTTTTAAAATTATTTTTACGGCACGTTTTTGTGGATTTTAAGTGCGTTTATAAACCCGGTCTCTAATATAATAATAACCTATTGGGCATAATCTTCTCTGCAATCATATCGGTCTAAGCGACGACTACACCGTCGTAAATATTATAAAATCGACAGTTCAATTAATATTGTTATTCCCAGGTAAAACACGTATATTATATCGTATCGTCGAAACTATCAATACAATATCATAAATTATTAAGAATATAAAAAAAAAAATTATAAATATATGAATTCAACACCTAGTATATTCGTTTCGATAATAATGAAAATCGAATACTTAGTGAAAAATAGAGGCGGTGAGCACACTGAATCTGTTCGGTTCAAATAAAAATTCGCCTATGACGCGCGTTTTTTTTTATTTTGGCATCTTCTTTCCGTCGACTTTACTACGGTCGAGGCGCGATAAACCGAACTCAGTGTGCTCTTGTCTATAGCTCTTTTATTTGTTTTTTTTTTTATATAAACTGCACATCGGCTTCTAATCGTAAACTAAAAATGATTGCATGTTTTTAACGAGCTATTACAATGTATAGTATTATGTTGTGGTTTTTTTTTATAATGAAATCTCTAGATTTAAAGTGTTGAAAAGTTTCATGGTAATAAGAATATATAAAAATCGTATAAATGTTCTATGATGTAAAAACTTTAGTTTTTTTTTTTTTTTTTTTTTATCATTTTATAAATAATAACAAGTTTTATTTGTATGAGTAATGCACCGCCGTTTTAACTTTCCGTGTAATGTTATTGTAAAAGTAACGCGATGAAATATTTATTTGCAAAAAAAGTCGAATAAAAACATTTGATACGATTTATTAGTATATATACAAACGCGCGGGTTTATTAAGTTTTCGTTAAAAATAAACTGAACACTATCATAAACAAATAATATGTAATATTACGATTAAACGAATGTATAGCTGTGGCTTGGCCGATGTCATGTAAAAAATTGAAAATTATACAAGTATAATATAATATATTATAATATAGTATAATATATTTAATAAAAAAAACAGTCTTATGGGAAATTAAAATTTCAAAGCCCTTTTTCCAACAGTAGCAATATATGATATTTGGCCCATCTTACACAAAGCCACAGATATTGTGTGTACGATGAAACATTTGCGATTTTTAATTTCCGACGATTTTGCCGAGGACGTTTTTGAATTTTTTCGGACCTATTCCAATTTAGATTCTTATAAAGATTCAACTATGATATATGGCATAATGAGACGCCATTAAAACGAGTCTGGACCGGCAGCATACTGGACTCGTTACGGTATATTATTATAACGTTATAATAGTAGATATATACCTATATAATAAAGAACAGATGACGTTCAACGACTGTGTCGGGTAAAATTTCGGTTCACAACGTTTTTTTTTTTTTTTTTTTTCACTACGTTTTAAATAATTCTATACTGCGGGACGATGTATTCTTTTCGGGCGATTGCTGGGGATGCGCACCGCCGTTCGACAAAAACACCGTAACCGTACACCGCGCAGTCGATTACCCTATAATAACGTGACCTGCATGATCGAATACGTCGCGATACGATCTTAGAGGGTATTTTTTTTTCATACAGAAATTAATTGCTGTACGACTTGTCGTCGTGACCGGCTCTCTCTAGCGTATTTTAATATTTCCCGAAACATCTGGTGATAACGCGCGTGCGAGTATTATATGTATACAACATTTTAACAAGGTATACGAGGGGCGAAAAAAAAAATCGAAGGAGGTGTTAAACAGTCCAGATCGTATAAATATATAATAATTATTATGATTAGTCCGGGGTGTTTAGTGAACAACGCCTATTAGAGCCGATCGGGCGGTTTCGTCGGGTGATATCGTGTTTTAATAAGGTTTTTTTTTTTTTTTTAAATTTATAGGCGCACCGATGTAATTAATAATTTCGTAATTATTTACGTACAGGTACTCTTTGTCTATATTATATACGTGTGAACATAAATATTATGTATCGTTGTCGTGGAAATGATTTCGAAACGGTGAAATCCCAAGATTATAATATACCTACTCGTATTTCATAATGCAGTACCCGCGGACCGCTATAGGTAGGTACCCAGAATAATATTTAATATTATAATCTTATTTTTTATGCATGTATATTATAAAGTACGTACAAATCAATAATATTACGGGAAAAAGCCGTCACGACGACGACGCGACGACGTTTTGAAAAATCGTCCGGATGACTCGGTATTATTATTTTATTTCTCATTTCACGTTGTTTTTAAGCCGTAATACCCGGAGCGTATACACCGGATCTATATTCGTGTTTGTCAGTTGTGTAATTTATGTACCATAAAACGCTCTTATAATATACTGTTAAACCGTGAAAAATAAAAGAATAATAATAAAAATAGAAATCGTATTGTGTCTGTCAAACGGGGAGGTCGTTTAATAATATATGGGATCGCCGATATGCATATGCATATATATATGTGTGTGTGTGCAAGACTTTAAGTATCATAATTTTTATAGTGTATTGCGCGTGATACTATATATTATTATTACATAGTATATAGGTACCATCGTGGATGAATTTGAACATTACGCGGTATAAAAACTAATTGAAATCCGTACGATTTCGAGATGTTCGCACCGAATTAGTGTTGTACATTATACATTTAGTGACTGTACCAACCTACACAATTTTTTGAGTAAAGTGGCTCGAAATGCAGTTGAATAATAAATATTCATAATAATCCGTAATTAACAATTATAAAGATTGCGCTAAGGTGTCGGTATATAATTTCTCGTAAAGCGTATCAAAATAAAGCAAGACCATAAAAACGACCTATAGTGCAGTAATAAATATTCGAGTTTTTTTTTTGGCTTTTTTCGTCGAGGATTAAGTATCCGGAACGAAAAACGTACATATAATTTTCGAACACTGTTCATACGGTTCAGTTCAAACCTACTGTTTTTTGTTGTGTTTTTTTTTTTTGTCGTTTCGTCTACAAAACAAAGAAGAAAAAAACCGTCTGCCGTTAACCTGCATTAGGTACGCGGCGATGGGTTTTCGGTAAACCGGACGTCGGTAAACGTATTCGTCGTACACATACAACAGCAGCAGCAGCAGCAGCAGCAGCAGCCGCCACCGAGTCGGTCACGTTTCGTTTGACAGTCGGAGACCGACAACGGTTGGGTTAGGTTAGGGGTTAGGTTGGGTTAGGTTATTATAAACGTATAGGTAGGTACGTGCACCTTGACGGATCGATCGGTCCCGACAGCGGCCCTTTCGCGTGTACCCACCCACGCAAAGACGTATTCGGCGACCGTCGACGCGTGAAACGATTTGTTTTACACGAGATAAATATTGACGGCGGCGGTAGCCAGAGAGCCGAAAATCCGTACGCGCCGACCATTCCGGTTCGGCGGACCGGAACGATCACGTGCACCGCGCTGCTCGAGTGTTTACGCAGCGGCCAATCGGCCTTTTAATTAAATGCCGCCGTTCATCCCGGCCCGGCTTTCGGCGCAGATATTATTCGATATTTATCGGCGGCAACCGATGCGCGGCTACTAGCCCGACACCGCGCTCTGCCAGTCCGCACCGCTCGCCGCGTAACTGCGGTACGCGCGCGTGGCGGACCGCGGTTACCGGGCTTTTACAGTGTTTAGGTGCACGCGTAAATAAACGAACGGCTCCGGCGCGATTTCGGTCGGGGCATGAAACGCGGCGCGCCGTGTCGAGATTTTCTTTTCGGTGTTTTCGACGGCGCGAAGACCGGATAACGAGTCGGACAAATTTCGCATCGCGCGGGTGGGTCACTGCGGTTGTAATCGGGTAGCCAACAACGCGTAGGATATGATAAAAAGTAGTCGATACCGTGTGCGACACTACGCGTGATCGCAAACGAAAAAAGCGGTCTTAGGATAGTGGAGACGGATGCAGCCACTGTTATAAGTGAGAAGTTGGGCAGGTAGTAGCGGGGAAATTAAATGTATATCTTTAAGCAACGAAAAACCATTGCTAACGAAAAACCGATCCAAAACGGAGTTAGGTTAATATAGTGTCAACAATAAATAATGTCATATAATGATAAAATAATTACATATGCATTAAATATTAGTTTATATAGTAATATTTGTTTAATGTTGTTGATTCAATTTTCCCATTTTTCCTACGTTCTCCTCGGTTTTAAATAATTTATTGGGACAACTCTTGGGAAAATCTAAAAACGAGTTCCCTAATGTACCTCTCCAATCAGATTTCCTTTTAGAAAAAGCGTTATCGTTCATAAAAAAAATAGAAAATAAACATCATAGTAAAACCAATACATTCCTGGTTCCACTTAGAATCTAAAGATTCTGAGCGGAGTCTTGTTTTTCCCTCGTTGCCGAGGTAACCCGGAAATCGACAAACGGTTTTCGCCCGGGAATCGTTTAGTTTGTATATAAATTAAATTACCTTTTATACTCCGCGTTCCCCACTATCCCTCCTACAACAGCGGTCCGCCTGTAAGCATAGTCAACTTTTTATAATAATAGATTCGAAAACTATTCACATAGTGAAAAATCCATTTAAACAATATTTGATTCGATTAACGGTCTCTGTATACTCTGTTGAACACGTTAAATCCACGTTCGAATGTATTCAATATGTTTCAAGCGTATTGTTGCTAAATATTTATCGAAATACATTTCCAGGTATAGATGGACTGTATATATTTTCCATATCAAAAAGAATTAAATTAAAACCGCATGCAATCAAACCGTAAACAAATAATATACCGAAAAACATTTTACACACGTACCTCCGTATAATATATACTATATAGATACCTATAATATGTGCATTTGAAATAGGCACATACCGGTAAATCGATAATTATATGTAAATATAGCCGAGTTTCGTATGCAATATGTGTGGGCCGAGATTAATATTATATGCACATTATACATTAAGAGCTTAAAAATTTAAATATTTAGTATGGTAGGTAGAGTAAATATTTAGTTATCAATGAATCATAACACACTATGATTGATAATATACAATATTGTGACTCGAGAAAACGTAATATTTATATTTACGCGATAACATCGTAATATATATTATAACCGTATGATTATTATCATTTTAATTATATGACTCGGAACCTGATGACCTAAAAAAAAAAAAATATTTTAAAAAATAAACTGTATAAAATGACATAGAAACAAACGATTCGAAAACATGACAAAATTATAATTTTTCAAGCACCCGTATACACATACATATATACCTATCGTCTGCTGCAACGAAAAAGGTCGTACTTCACTTCATCCAGCTTCTATAATCTAATCTCTTCGGACGAGTGTAGAGATACGAACTTTTTCGTGAGCAATGCTAATAAAAGATACGGCCCGAATCGAGAGACGACCATGTTTGTTACAACAGATGAAATGCATTACATATGTATACACTAAAAATGAATAAAACCACATAAAAATACTAAAAAAAAATTGCTCTACAAACTGAAATACAGCGGAAATGCTCTAAAAATTACACCACTATTGTTTTGATTCCACTAAAACAAATTATCGTTCAGTCGAGTAACATTACACCAATAACAACAATAAAAAAAAAAAAAAAAACACAAAAAGTGAGTACAGAATATCTTCAGTCGATTTTAAAAACAAAATAAAAATAATACAATAATATTCAAGTTTAAACACGTATCTATACATTTACATTTAATAATGTTTTGAAATCGAACTCGGTTTTTCTTGAACATACGCCCAACTGCACATTTATTGCAATTGATCGCGTTTTTAACGAAAACATAATCATTAATTTCGTGTTCGTACTTCCTCTTTGAAAACTTAATTTAAACCAATCGTATGTTTTATACGGTTGTTTAAGAAATTGGGCGTACAATAAAACATATTTTATGGACGCACAATCACAAACACAACACCCGAGTTTCATAAACGAAAAACATTCCCGTACACTATTTATACTTAATATGGAAAATATAATATACATTTATTATTTATGCGCGTTTACTAAAAACATAAAATTTTATTGAGACATTATTTAGTTTGATTTGTAATACATATTTGTGTAATACAATTTTGTATCATATTACATACTTCGAATATTACTATACAATTATTATTGCGTACGTACAAATGCACAAACTGAAAATAAAACACGTACTTGAAATTAGAAATTTATTTTGTTTGTGTACAGTAATTCCGGCGAATTTAAACGGATAAACGATATTATTATAATATGTATGATTTATTTGTTCGTGAAAATTATAACGGTGTTTTAACACAGAGAAACAAATATATCATACATTTAATAATATCGTTTATCCGTTTAAATTCGCCGGAGTTACTGTACACAATTAAACAAAATAAATTTCTAATTTCAAGTACGTGTTTTATTTTCAGTTTGTGCATTTGTACGTACGCAATAATAATAGTATAGTAATACTCGAAGTAGGTAATATGATACAAAAATGGAATGTTTAGACGAATAATTTCTCCGTCTACACAAATATTATGCGCTTAAAGTTTAACGTCTATTAATCCGGGAAAAAAGTTGTTACTCGAGATTATGAAATTACACGTCGGTATACGCGGAAAGTGCAAAGGTAACACGGGTTTTAATGATAAATGTATAAGTATGGTTTTTTTTTCACCATTTACTCGTAGAAAGTTCTTGGTAAATTACGTAAATATTATACGGTTATACGGTTTACGATATTAATTCGAACACGTTTACACTTTTATACACTGCACGCGTTGTTGGTTCTTATTGTTACACGGTAGGTAACGCGTGCACTGTCGGATGTCCAATATTTTTAATTGAAATATGTTTACCCGTTTCTGTGGAAGGGAAAACAATATTTATCTCTTTTTTTTTTTTGTTATCTACCGATAAAATGCGCCGAATCTTATCTTTTATGTTTTTATTATTATACGTTTCATCTCGATAAATTCCCGTTCGGGGTTATCAGTGATCCGCGGCGTGCTGGACAATTCATATTCGTCGGTATAATATTTTCGTTATCTTTTAGCAGACGACGAAAAAAAAAACAAAAACAACCATTTATCCGCGCGGCTTAAAACGATAATAACGTGATATTATCGTTTGTTATTAAAATTGTGATTTTTTTTTTTTTTTTTCAATATTGCAGGACGGGTACGTCCGGCCACGTCTAGCCCGACAAAAAACACGGGCCCGCGGTATGACCGCCGCCGAGGAAAGTGTCCCCGGACACGCGGCAGCACGTTAATTGTATTTAAATTGCTTCTGGGATTCCGTAACGGAGGCTTTCGAACGCGATATAAATCGGGTACCGGACCCTGTTGACCCGGAGCTCGTTTCGGAGGTTATCAGTGCGCGCGCGACGCGTCGCGCACGGCGGGCGAGGCGAGCGCGCGAAAGCCCCGAGGGCCGTCCCGGATCGACCGTTTACCGTTCTTTGTGCGTCCCGCGCGTTATTAATGCCCCCGGTCCGGGGGCATCGGTTTAATTAGCGTTTGACCGGCGGAGGTGGTGGTGGTGGTGGTGGTGGTGATGGCGGTCTTCTTATTCTCGCTCTCCGCCGTTCCGCGTCTTCTCCTATCGGACGCACCACCTCCGTCCGCGTAATACTATTTATAATAATAATAACGCCACCTCCGCCTCGGTCTCGTTGGGTATTGTACACCGGCAGCTGTATGCGGCGTCCGAGGATGAGCCGCGGGTTTAATTCGGTCGTATACGCGCGGACAATTATTTATATTATTATTATTGTTGTTATTGTTTTTGGACGGACGCGTAATTGAATTCACCCGCGCTTTTTTTTTTTTTTCCTCTCGAAAATACCAGTCGTCGTCGCGGTCGACGCTTCCGGACGTACACGCAGCCGCCGCCGACGCCGCGGTCAATTATAAAAAAAAAAAAAAAAAAAAAAAAAAATCAAATCCGAGGACCACCCGAGTGGAAATATTTCACCCCGTCGAAATGTAATCGCGCGCCCATAATACTGTACCGACGCAATAAGAATAATGCATCGACCGACAGCCTCACACTGTATATTATTACGGCATTTGTGACTGCAGTTCGTTTTCGTTTTCCCCGGATTACAAATATCGTTTTTTTTTTTTTTTTTAATTAAAAGGCGCTGTGCGTTGAATCGATATGTTACGGGTACACCGCTATAATGTTACGCGATTTAAAGCGGACTAAATATTAAAATCCTGTAGTTATTATTGCGATACGCTCTTTTTTAAGATCAGTATTCGAACAATAGGACGTTATATTCAGTCCCACAACGCAGAACAAGTAAACCTAGCTTGGTTTCGATTTTAGAGTAAAGGTACCTAAATATTATGCGATTTATGGGGAACAGCAATATTTTGGAGGAAATGTCATTTACAAGGTTTTTGTATTTTTCAAAATACACATCTCGATATAAAAGAAACAAAAACATTTCTTTTTATTGTTTTTTAAATAGCTGTGACTTTTTAATAGGTAGTTTATAATTCAAAAAAATCTATGATATTCCCTGATAACAACCGCTGATATTATCGACAAATAAACGATACTGTAATATTATTATACAATCGATTATTAACCGTTCGAAATAACACCCTTTACAGACGTTTCGGGGGAGGAGGAGGGGGGGAAATATTCAATTATAACGTATAGTGCGTAGTAAATTATTATAAACACTTTAACGGTATTAATTGCCATTTTGTCCGACGGCGGTAAATTGAAACGTTTTAAGTCGTTTACGAATACATACGCAAACATTGAACGACTGGTGAAAAGTGTGTAAATCTCGTTTGATATTTCACCGGAAAAGTCATAAATGTTAAGACGTGCGCGTATTCAACCATTCGAGTTGTGTACGCGACGAGTTTATTCCTCGACTGCTTGCAACTGCGATTAAACAATTATTATGCAGTTCGCCAGACCGTTCGATTATTGCGTAGCGGATTGTCTTCGACATAGAAGCCGTTTCGGTATGTTTCGTTACAGTTTAGAGTAAGGAATCTGTAGGCATTTACCGGTGTTTTTATGTTACCTACGATTCTACTATAACGATGCGTGTACACAGAAACTTTGTTTTGATTTTCGGGCTCATTTCGGATTTTGTGTGTTTATTCTTTTATAATACATTTTAGGAACTCGAATCGATTTCAGTATAATCGACCGAGTATGCGTATTGTTGTTGTACAAAATTTAAAACGGCTTATCTTGTTTTTTCAATTGTTTTCAGATAGGTAAAGGTTTACACTACGCACACATATAGCATTTTATCGCTTCGAAATCAAAACGAAACGTACCAGATTTTGTATAAAAGTTGAAACGGTCAAAAATATCCGCGTGCGAATCAATTATTCAACACTAAATTCCAATTCCCGTAGCATTAAAAAGCGTACAAATTATATATTTGTCTATCGATTGCGGTGTTATATTATAATTATATGTTATTATTATTCTGTGCGGCAGTATCGGAATTATTTCGTTGATCAATAAATTATGATGTGGTAATATTATAATAGGTATACGTGACGTATATACGCACTATATAATAAGTATGCGTTATAATCGATATAATAACGTGATCGGACGGGATTTTCGAAATTATAGTGTTTTACCGAAAACGGGGAGGGGGATGGCAGGGAAATTGGTTATTATAAATGCGTTTGACGCCGTTCTTCGGCTGTTACACGTCAGTTATACGTTCCGCATAGGCGCAAAATATTATAATCGTTAGAATGCGCAGTCGAAAAAATCGTTTTTCTTTTCTTTTTTTTCCTTATCGCGTTGTTATTAGTTCCCGTGGCGTTGGTTTGTACACGGGCGCGCGTACGAAAGCGGCCCAAAAGCTGCGGCGGCGGCGGCGTATCCTTGTGGGAAAAATAACCACTGGGTTTATCGACTAGAAACACGAAGGGCTGATTGATGCGACACGAACACGCAACCTTGATCGAAGCAATATAATTGTTTCTTCCAAGACGTCCCGCTGTACACCGTCCATCTATGTACGCTTCTCGTACACCCGAGTTTGCCTATAATACCACTAAACAATATAAAACTGATAGCGATATTTGTTTGTACACGCGGTATGGTAACTTTTTTTTTCAAACATAAATAATTCAATAGGCGGATATTATATACTGCGCGGGGCAATATTATATTTTAATATTATGCAGGTGGGTATTCCGATATCCAAATGTATTCACATGGTACAATTTTTCTTTTATCATCGTTGTACATTTTTTTCAGTTATATAGAATGAGTGTGCTTTTTCCACTATTATTATTATCTATCGCATATAATCCGAACGTTCAAACAAAACTTTTTAACGCCAAAAATTCGACTCGTAACAATACGAATTAACGTAAAATACGTATTCAAAAATACTTTAAATAATATTGAAAATATCAAAAGAGCTCGATCAATGTTAAAAACCCACTAACTCAAGTGTTACGAAATCCGAACATTGAACCGAGAGAGTTACTTTGTAAAAATTCGTTTTGTTGCGTTTTTTATACTTGTACAAATATACAACATAAATAATTATATATTCGTTTATCGCGGTTAGCGGACGAATATAATAGCACTGTATTGACGATATTCGTAATAACATACGATATTGTTGCGAATTACCCGTAAAATACAATGTTATATCGTATAGGTATACGAGTAGGCGAATCATTGAACTTAAGTACACACCTTGGTTTTTTTTTTTGTATTTCATTTGTACGATACAATAAATATAAACCGCTCGAATCGTTTGCACAAGTCGTACTTTAAATAATATTGCAGAATTTGTCATTTTTTTTAATTTTTTTTTTTTTTTTTACGAATCATAAAGTTCAACGATAATATTCAAGTGGGTATACATTACCGACGTTTCTGCATTACACTCTGTACTCATACGCGCGGAAACCGTAAACGCGGATTCCCGGCTATTGCTGTATGTTTAAAGGTGCACGTCAAACGGTTTCGCGTCCGGAACGTATACAATGATGATGATAATAATATAAAGCGCAGTTGAAATAACAAGACGGACGAAATACGAGTGCGCGAGTGCTCAGACAATAGCGGAGTCGGCCCGATTTTCTCACCCCGCGGGTGAAACGAGATAATTGATTCCGACTGCGGGGCACGTATTCTGTCGTGGACTCGTTTACCCTTTTGAAAAGAGAGAAAAAAAAAAACACCTCCGTTCCGCCCTTTCGCGCTGCCGGTACACACGTTTTGCCGGCCCTATCCGACTACTACGGTGCAGTGGCATACGGGTTTCGTCATGATTCGGGGTGAAGCGTTTTCTCACGGTTTCCCGCGAGTTCGCCCACGCGATGTTGATTGCGCACGAGTCGCACTCGAGAAAAGTGGCTACGACAGACACGAAACTGCGGCGTCCGCAATTATCTGCAGCTCATCGCCGCACATAAACGCGTGTACGCCGCGAAACGTCTATTGCTCCGCCGGCGATAATATCCAACGGTTTAACCGTATTTTTCTCGCTAAAACCGCGAAAAAATAGTGTTTTTTTTTCTTCTCCTTCCGTTTGCGCGTCGCTCGATTTTTTCCGGAAAAAGTCGAAACCGCGTCCGTCATGACTGGGGCTCGGGACTTATTGCGTTTGAAATTTAAGAGAAAGCGTTCGAAAACGTCGAATAAGCCCTGGAAAAATGTATGAACAAGTGGTGGAAAGGTTTAAAGGTCTAACGAATCAAACTGTTATTAGGTAAACACAATCTTTTATAATACGACACAAATGGTCAACAAAAAGTAATTTTGTTTAAATAAAGTCATACGTATTATAAAAAAAAAAAATTAACTATGAGTTGATAATTCGAGTAGCGTTACAAAACAAAAGACAAACTTTAAACCCCTCCAACGTTTTTGCTTTATTAAATATTTTTCAAGTGTTTCTTTCAGAGGCTTTTTGACGTTTTTAGGCGTTTTTTTGTGGATTTTGAATGCAATAAGTCCCAAGCTCTAATCATAATACCTATTATAAATGTCGAAAAAAAAAATAAAAAAGACACGGACATACTTTGCACGATGTATAGGGGAAATTCAATGTTAAACGATTATACCCATTGCTAACATTGATATACATATTTTAAAAAGCCGTAGTATTTACGATTTGAAAATAATACATTTCGTAAATTTCCCGTTTTTCACATTTATTGGGGAAACTCCTGGGAAAATCAAAAAAATACCTCCTTAAAGTGCCACTCTAGTTTGATTTTCTTTTAGAAAAAGTGCTATGATTGTAAATCGGATTAAAATTGCTGGTAGAAAAATTGTCCATAGAAAAAAAAATCGTAAAATCAATACATTTCTCGCTCCGCTTAAAATCTAAAATAGTGTTTAGTAGATACGACATAATATTGTTAAAAAAACTCGTATTTCGAATATTGCCAAAATAACGCCCCACGAAACCTTTTTAAATGTATACAAACACTAGTATTCTTCCATTTTTTTTCCTTTGTAAGTTTTTCAATAAATATACATTTAACACTTATTTACATTATTACAATATTATGGTCGGGTGCACTTACAGCGTTAATGTAAGTAAATTAAATTTCGATTAAAATAAATTAAACGTAATGAATGTATTTTTAAATAATATATTTTGTACTATAAGTCTTTGAAAGTGATAGAATGTCAAACATTTTTTTAGAGAGTCTCCTAATCACTAATCCACGTACAAATGTTCAAATAGAAAAATATTAATCCGACAATCACGCCGCCGTATGAAAAGCGAAATACTATAAAAGGGGATGCGTTTTAACGATATAAATTGTACACAGTATATAATAATACTAATATAATAGTGGTATACCAGTATTATACAATATATCGTTTCGTCAAACTACGATAGTAAAATACGTTAAGTACACTCACTTAAATTTCGGATCAATATTTTAAGGTAATAACAATAATAATAATAAAGATAACGGAATAAAAAAAAAAAAAATAAATACATTTATAGAGATTCCTTATGGCACGTATAATGTAATATACATATATTATTATTATTGTTTAACCGAGTCGATTTTAAATTCTATCAAAATGAAGATATATACATTCGAAACCGCCCCATTATTAAAACATTCCAAAAATGTTATTTGACAGTTAAGTGCCGCGTTATACTCGTGTGTTTTCTCCGTCATTTTCGTCTTATTTTTTTATTTTTTTATTTTTTTTTTTATATATATAGAAAGAAGCGTCCGTATAATATGGCAGGCGCCAGACACAAAGATCCAAATCAAATTACACGCGCGCCGCACCCTATACAGTTCCATTATTTTACTCGATTTAAAGTTTATCGAAAACTCTATGCCTATAAATATACATCCAGCACATTTTTGTTAACTTTGTGACGTTCTAATATTGTCCGTTAGAATTATTATCGCGTCGATAATTATTGGAGCGATACAAACGGTAAAACACTATGCAATTTAAGTTTCAAAAACAATGTCGTCGTTTATTACATCGGCATTTTCGTATTTGGAAATGTGCAATAATTAATATTGAAACATAGTGGTTAAGATTGTAACGAAAACAATATCAATCGATATGCGTAAAGTTGGTTTTTTTTTAGTAAATACCATTGTTTTGTTACTTATTTGTCGGCGAATTCGGTACGAACTCGTAGTTCGTACCGGTCTAACAAATATCTCAAAATTACATCACCGTATTAACCGTCATTGATCCAAAGATCGTATACACATCTTAAAGTATCACTAGGCGGATAGTATTATTATACTGCGGTATATTATATGAATATGAAATTATCGTCGTCGGTAACCGCTATAATTATATTATTATTCCGCGGACGGAAATAATAAACTAACACGGTCCATAATTTTACCGCGACCGTCACGACCTTATGAGATGTTTTTAAAACGTATTAAAACTGCAGAGTTATTATCGTTTTCCGCAACACGTTAGAGATATGTTTTAACAGAGTCGAAACGCAAACTGCGAAAATAATAACCTACAGATTTTACAGCTCCGTTAAAAAAAATAAAAAAATATAGATTTGAGGAAGTTTAAAATAAATTCAAGTATAGCCGTTTAAATGACCGGAGGGGGTAGGTCACGCGTATAGAGAAAATAAGACTCGACGGTCGAAAAAGTCGTAGAGAAAAAGACCCGAGAGAAAAAAGACAGTTTTGAAAACCGCGAGTAAGTTGGGAAGTTTTCCGTTAAAGATCGGGATTTCGCAGACTTTTCAGCATATCAGAACGCGGACATTCGGACCTTTGAGGAGAATATTGGTTTGGCGGAACGGTTTCGACGGCTTTAAAAAAAAGATTTTAATTATAAAAACAAAAATATATGTCCCTGTATAAAAATCACGGTGACGCCGTCGTCGCCACGGCAAACACGTCGACGGGCCGTAAAATAATAATTGTCTCTTTACAAGTTGGGCGAACACGTATTTTTTTTTTTGTTAAACCCGGACGGCCAGCCGCAAATTTGTGTTCCGCGCCGCTCCTACAACAACACCTCTCTCATCCCGCGCGCTTTTATTATCCCGACGAGTTTTTACTACCATACGCCAGCTTGTCCGTGAGATTTTTATTGAGCTTTTATTTTTGGACCGTTTCAGAGAAAGGGGGAGAGAGAGAAAGACGTTGGTGATAACACAATGTTTGTACAATATATATTTATATAGATGCGAGGGGTTTTTATGAATTTCTCGCGGTGCCCGAGGGTCGTAAAAATCACGCAATAACTATCGACAAATATCCTCGAAGAAATGAGATACAGATTTTTTTTTTCTTCATTTTAAGTCCGATCTTTTAATAATGTAAGAACGCCAAATTTACCGCACACAGCATCTCCGTCGGTAAACAAACCGCGGAGCACGTTGCGTTTCACTCGTGTGTGTGTGTGTGTGTGTGTATACGAACACGAGTTGTTTACACGCGATAAATATACACGATAGTACCGGGGAGATCAATATTTATTCCGCGTATAACATTATTATCATTATTATTATTTTTTTATTATTATTTTTATACTAGTCCGTCGTCGTAAAAATCGAATATTATTTTATTTGTGGGTACCGAAAACCTAATATTATCGTTCGCCCGTCCGCCGTCGTTAAAAATCTGAATCAAAAAAAAAAAAAAATATATCGTCGATTATGTATACATAAATAATATGTATGTATTTTTTTTACTTAAAAACCTTCTATTAGCCGGCGTTTGAGTTCCTTTTTAAATAAATAATGTTATAACGTAGGATTTTTTTTTTTTTATGTCCGCACAAGTAATCTGGCGCGATATTTAGGTTAAAGGCCATTGAAACTTTTTATCGGGTGTATATCGCACTATTATATATATAGGTGCCTAACGATGACAATGCGTGCCAACGGAACGCGCGTTTCGACGACGACGGTGTAAATAAAGCGGATTCGAATGTAGTAGAAAAAAAAAAAAGAAAAAAAGATAGCGAACTGTAACAAAGTTCTAGTACAGCGCGGAGGGGAACGAAATCACTTACTAACGGGTATCGATAAACGACTACGGCGGCGCCACGGCGGGGCGGTTTTAATGATCCGTAACATTAGAGAACGGGGGTGGAAAGACGGCCGAAGATGAAGGGCAGGGGGAATATTGTGTTCCATCAATTTCGGGGGGTGAAAAAAAAACAACAACAAAATATCGCGTTTACACGCGGCAATAATGCGTTGTAAGCAATTACCGATAAATATAGTTATCATATTATTAGGTGTACCTATGTAGAAAACATTTCAAAATAAAAAAAAAAAGGTTCCTAATAGTCTTATTAAAAAATAATTTTCCTTATACACACGATAACATATTATTATTATTTTTAGGTATTATGTTACGCGCGTGTACGATATTTGTCCGTGCATTTTTTTTAAAAAAAAAAAAACATATAATTGTAATAGATATCGCGCGATAATGATAGCGTACATACACCGGACGATTTTTTTATACCTGTATAAAAAATAAATAAATAAATATACACATGCGAAAATATGTCGTCAATATTTGATTATGTTCGGTTAGTTTTGTCAGAAAAAATATTCAATGGCGTGCACAGGGGGGTAGATTAGAGGTTGTATTCCCTCCCTCCATTGGCATAAAATACAAAAAATATGAGTAATCTAATATCGAAATGCAAATATTTTAGTCAAAAGCTTGATGTATTGATTAGAAATTGGCTTTTTTTTAGGATCCGGCTGTTAAATTACCAATTACCATGGTCGAGTCGGGTAGAGAAGAGGACTTTACGATTTATTCACGATTCTTATTTGCCACGTCCCCTCCCATTGATAATTCCTGGGCACGTCACTGATAATATTATATAAGGAATCAAACGAAGAAACTACTAGCGTGTTCACGAGAATGCTGTTTTAACTAAACTGTATCCCGGACTGGAATATATAAGTCGGTCGTCTATGTATATATATATCAATATTTATAATATAATATATCCATTATCTACGGACGAACCGTCGAGGTTCGGATCACTGATAAAAATTAATACGGTCAGTGGCATCAAGCCCTGGGGTCAAAAATTCCATATCGCGATAACAATTGAACACTGACAACAGCGGAGAAAAGGTCGTCCGAGGCCCTCGTTTTCCGAATGACCGTAAATGCACTTTATGATTATAATATTATAATATTCGTTATGCGGTAGAGTCGCGTACAGTTATTACTACTATATTGGGATCTATACAATCAAACAGTGCACACTCTGGTGACAGTTTATTGTACCGAAACAAGGGGCTATCTCTGTGATATCCGGACGGTACGTAATATTATTATAATGTAGTGACGTACGTTAGCGCACTCTTTCCGACGACGACGCGTGAACATTTTCAACGATAAAACCCATTGCATATAATAATACGGTGTAAACGAGTGCGAATGCCTCCTTACGGTAAACGATACCAGCGCTGTCTAAAGTCCAACCAAGATCCTGATTTTCGCGTTTATTACACCCCTCCCCCCTCAAAAAAAAAAAAAAACAACAGAAATCGTACCGTACAGAAAATTGTCGTAAACCGTAAATTGATATTTTTCAAAATTATACAAAATACGTCGTGTGTATTATAATATTAGATCCGTTTTACGGATACTCACACCGGTACATACACCGTGGTTTTGACGAACGATAAAAATCTTATCGCGACGGCACTTTGTTAATTCATCGCGTAATATTGACGCACTCGGAATATATAGAAAAACCATAAAACAATTTTCGACAAGACAAAATACAAAAAAAAAAAAAAAAAAAAAAACATTATACGTACCTAATACTATGTGCACGAGCGAAAGCACTCGCCATAGTCCCTAAGAAAACTACTGAAAAGACGCGTTCGTGTGCTTCACGACCATACAGAATAATAAATTCTGTTCCGAATTTTCCAAAGGCACGGACAAAGTCGGACGGCGTCGGCGACCGAGAAAAATATAGAAATCGACTAGTCAAATTGCAGGTCAAATCACGTCAATAATTCAACGCACGTCAGTTTCTTAAGTGAGTTAAGCGGTTTACGCAAGTCGAGTAAAATTGAACGTTTTTCTTTTCGACATTGTCGCGTAACAGAAAAACATTTTTTAGTATTTCGTTTTTTTTTTTTTTTTTTTTTTTTTTTTTTTAAAAACGTCGAGGATTGGAAAAAAAAAATAATATCAAAACCTTTCTACAGATGTGATCGCTGTAGCTCGCGAGAGAGTTGGTTCGAGATAAAAATCACCCTGTATACGATATAATAATATTATAAATTCGGATAAAATATTATAATCCAATACGGTTGTACATAAAAGCATATTTACCAAACACATACTCGTATAATACGTACACGATCTAACAAGATAACACGTATCGGTGTGACAAATGACTGATTTATTGGGGCTGACGCTCCCTACGCCGTATTGAGCAATAATTCTATCAGCATAATAATAATAATAATAATATAATAATAATAGGGTCCGCTGTTTATACGACTATATGGGAAACAGAAACGGAAAGGAACGTTCTTTTAACGTGTAAAATATTATGCTGTGTGCGTATGACGTGTACGCAATACGGATTAGTATATAAACTTGCCGAACATAACGATAGTAATAGTGCCGTAATGCAATATGATTTAAGAGCGATACTAACGTTTATTTTACTTTTTTTCTTAATAATAATAATAAAAAAAAAAAAAAAAAAAACATCGAACTTGTTACATTGATTTTGTTTTGATATTCTTTGAAATATTTTACTGTTTACGGAGGAACGCGCAAAGTTTGGTATTTTTATAATATTTTTTAATTTACGAAAATTAAAATATTTAATTTAATATTACCGAGAATTAAAATACGTAAGTATAATTTACAAGTACCTATACGTAAACTGTTGAATGTTAAAAACGAAAAAAAAAATAAAAACAATTTGTTTATGAATTAATTAATTATCTTGGAGTTTGGGAAATATAGACATTATGTTTACCATAAAAAAAAAATAAAAAATAAAACAACTAAGTCTTTAAATATTTGTTATGAGAAAATATATTTAAAATCATAACGTATAATATTGTGTACCACTATCAGTCGACGAAATCCTTTTTTTTTTTTTTTTGTTTTTTCGTTGATATAACAATAAATTTTCATGTCATAGCGGTCGTGTATATAGTCAAGAGGTATTACGTATGTTTTATTATCATACATGAATTATTACGAAACAATCGACAAATACAACAGATCGAGGAGTAGGCATACGTACTCGCGTAACATATCCAACATCGTGGCGTTGTTATTATGATTTCAATTCGGCGGTTAGGGTGGTAAGGGTCACGGACCTATATAACATGATACCCTGCGCGCCGGTATTCAAATATTCGGTTCGGTTCGGTATTTTTTTTTTTTTTTTTTACGTTTTTAATATACATAGATCCAACAGGTTTGTGGGTAGGTAGGTAGGTACCTATACAGGAAAACAAAAGAATATAAACGAGGTCCGCGGTCGTTAATAACTTCTTTTAACCATCACGACGGCGATGACGGCGGATCAGATAATCGTATATTGGTATAGGTTGGTAGGTATTACAGGTATATACCCCGTTCAGATTTATTTAACCGATTATACGATATTGTATTAATAATTATAACAACATTGTCTTATTAGCACCCTCCAGGACATTTCGGTTATTATAATATCCGTAGGCCTTAGCGCTTTTGCATAACTCACGAGTAACAACAGGTTTATACAAATACACGAGTGGGTATGCATCGCACACAATTATTATAAATTATTATAATATTATGGTTCTGCTCCCCCAGACTACGAGAGAGACAGCGGTAATTACTTACTTAGTATATTTATATAAATATTTGATTTCTCAACAATATTTAATTTGTTACACGGAAACCTGTCGACAAAATAATTTCCACGTGACGAAATATTCCCAACGTTCTATATTAGCGGTTAATGTAATATATAATTTTTGATTTTCAAAACAACTGTGAACATTGGAAAATGTGATTTTTTTTTTGAAGAAGAAATTCAATTCAATTGTATGCATTCCCGAAAATATCGTTTTATAAATATTATACTGGAAAATAGAACATAATCCTATCAACATCCTAAAATGATTTAAAATTATTGTTTTTATAAAAACTAGAAACATTATTTTATAGAACCTATTTTCCGTTAAAAAAAAGATTTTAAAATAAACTTAATAAAAGTCGAATCAAATTAATTTAAAATATAGAATTACGATTATACCTATACGTTAAGGTTAAATTGATAAACAGACAACAAACAAGTGAGATCTATACGGAAAACGTTCGGTGAAAAGGATATGTTTTAGATCGTCAAAAAAAGGAAGATTGCGATGATCTGAATATGTACAATGAAAAACAAAAATACGGATAGTGCTGGAACTGAATCCAATATGAAAAATATCTTGCGAAAGGTATACAGGAGGTGGAGCGAGTTTAAAGATTTCGGCGATGGATAAAGAATTGCTGAAGGGTTGGTTTTGAGACGAGACGGGATTGTTATAAAGGACTATTGGACCAAAATAATAGTAGTAATATTTTAATCTATAATTTATTCAAATGTTATTAGGATGAACAGAGCTCGTTATTTAGGTATTGTAGTTCTTACAAATAAAACCAATAAAATATTTTCTCTCAAAAAAAAAAAAAAAACAAACCATTAATATACGCGTTTAAAATGTTAAAATATGCCAAAAAAAAAGTTTTTATCGAAAGTGAAAAAAAAATCATTAAAACACAAAAAAAAACCTAGAAAAATACCGTCACAACTTCGATATATGCAAAAATATGCAACAAAAAAAAATTTCGAATTTTACTTATTGGTTATGTGAAACGATTTGTATAATTTAATTTAGTAGTCCCTATCGAAATAAATATGCGAATTCTACAAGTTACGATGATGACTATATTATTAAAGATTCTATCCATAAAGAAACGGAAATATTATAAAATGAAAAATACGATTTAAAATTATTACATACGTTTAAAAAACAAAAACATTTTGGTAATTTTAATGGTTCGTCACTAACCCGTTAATAATATAATGTTAAATTAACACCTTATGTCGTACTATTATTATTATTATTATTATTATTGGAGGTTTTAAATATGTTTTTTTTTTTTTTTTTTTTTATTCGGGTACTTAAATACATTATAATAACCCATCATCTTGAATGTCGATCACTATATTATATTTTCTTTAATCCTACGCAAAACGCTAGGCATTATGATAATAATAATAAAAAAAATACCCACACGTTGACCCAAATTAAAAAAAAAAAATCAACAACCGATGTAATAATTGTAGGTTAGCCGTTTGGGATACGCATTTACAATCGAACAACTGCGTGTGGGGGTAGAATGAACACTGCATTTTTTAAATTTTCTCTTCACGCTATTATACGTATACTTGTAGACATAATCTTTAATAACACACACGGCATAAGAACTAAAATGTAGAGATCATTATTAATTTACAACTAGTATCACGATTAATGAATACGTATTATACGAGTGTACTTTATATCGAATCAAAACGATATTTTTCGGGCTGTTTTAAATTACTTAATTTTACGTAGACGCAATCAGCGTATCGAATACTCTAAAAAAATAAATAAATAAATAATAATAACAGAAAACAGCGATAAATGCTAAATGCAAATTTCGATTTCAAAGTATACTATCGTAACGTGAAGAACGATAATATATCCCATTTCCCGCTGGTATCCGGGATCTACGTACATGAATGGTATTATAGTCATATTAATCGAAACGGTAATTTGTAACGTTTATTTAAAAAAAAAAAAAAAAAACCCGACCGTTCGCAATATGCAGCTATATTAAAGAACTACGGAATGATAAATTATCGTATTAAAACCGCGGTTTATCGTTCAATAATCTCCAACGTCAAAATAATATCTAAATTGATGGAGTATATAGGTACCTCTACCTATAGTATATTATTATTATTCTATATGTAACAATAAAGCAGTCACCGATGATGGAATATACGGGCAAGTCCCTCGTCGTCGCTCCCCTGCAACCATGCCCGTGTGTACACTGTATATACGGAACATTATCAACAAAACGACTTTATCAGTGCAGCAGTGCACATACTTACAACCTCTCTGACCCGAGGGCGTTTTATTCGCGGGAAAATAACTATTAGACGCGTTCCGGGCCGGGGGTAACTTAAAAGTAAAACTGTGTTAACTCCCGTGTCCCTGTCGGCATTAAAAACACGTATACAGTAGGTACGTATATAAAAACCCGCGGAAAACGGAACGAGTAGCGGCGGTGTTTCGGGGTCGAAGGAAGAAAGTGGAGGGGGGAGGGGCTGAGGGTAAAATACCCTCAGGTGTTCGCGCGACATACTGCAATGGCTAACGATCTTTTAGTCGGGATTTTTTTTTTTTTCAAAGGTATTATTTTAACGAGGGAAAAGTTGATTTTAAAAGTAAATTTGTGGCCCACGCGTCAAAGAAAAGCTTTATTTTATTATTATTTTTTCCCTCCCCCAAGAGCGACAAACTGCAAAGAGAGAGTTAAAGTTTTTTTCACTAATACATGTGCGGGCTACTAAATTCGTCAGCGTCAAAACAATGCAAGATTTATGCGTATGCTCGTATACGGAATACAATAATTTAGGAGTGCAGTCCGTTTGAAATTGTTGTACGATAGTCCGTTTTGGGAATTTAAACTTTTGAATCGTAAAATCCGAAGCGGTTAAAAATTAGGTACGAGTTTTCAAGTTTACTAGTGTTTTTTTTTTTTTGAAGTTTCGCGGTAAAAAACTTTAAACAGGACCGCGATTTCCCTCGAGAAATTTAATTGAAAATGAATTATTACAATACTGCACAAATGTTCGTTATTTTATTTATAATTTATACTTATCAATTTGTAAATTTTATTTCATTTTTTTTTTTCGTACTTGGTCACGCAACGTTAATACGACGAATGCACGTTTTCTCAGCCGTGTATAATAGAGTATAGGTGTATGCTATAAAGGTACAGACGATTTATTAATTATTTACTCAATAACAGGTTTACCGTATAGCGCTGGTTTTAAAATCGTAAATATATTTATTTATACGCGTAGTATAAACACAGCATATTTCTGTAATGAAAATAAATTAAAAATATTAAAATTAATATCCGAATTAAAAAAAAAATTAAAAAAATACGCGTATATTAAAAATCATAACATATTTGATCAAAGCGAGATTATTAAAAGTTTAATAAAATTAATTTATCGTTCCTGTTACTGTCAAAAACAAAATAATCGAGTTTTTTGAAAGTTATTTTTGTTTACAGTAATAGTTTTACTAATATGTGACATTTCTCCCCCTTGGAAAACACATTTTTTCGGTTAGTTGAAATAGTCCGATTTTTTCGTCCAGTAATTTTAAACGTGTTTTTTTTTTTTTTGAAATTGTCAACTATTTTTCCTTAAAATAACACCGTATGACGTCGATTAGATGTTTATCGATTTCCGGATTATCTTGACTATTGCAAGAGGAAAATAAAACGACTATGGGTTAACAATGCAATCTTAACGGTTTACCGAGCTCCTCTCATCAGAGTCGTTTATTGATATCAATGATGTATCGTTGCTTTCGGATGTATAAACTAATAAATTACCCTACATAGTATCTGTCTAAATTATTAATGGAAAAATACGTTTCATCATACCATGCGATTCTGGCGAGTATAAAATAATTTGATATTATTATTGCGTAAACAAAAACACGAATCCACTTTATTGGCATCGAAAAACAGAAACCTAATGCGTTTAATGTATGTATAAGTTTTTCTTTTTTTTTCACATTTAATGATTGATACGTCTCATTTGTAATTGAAATTAAAATACCATATTGTTTCGAACGTATAAAAAACGTGTTAATGGACACGGGGAAAAAAAAAAAAAAAACAAAAACAAACTACTAAACCACCGCTATATTACCACCGCCGCTGCAGCAGTTATAACATTATACGGACTGCGTTGCACGGGTTGTTCTTGCGACTCCATTAGGACACTGTTAGTGTAAAAGCCGAACATAATTTTTTCCTAATGACATTCGAGTTTTTTCGTTCCCTACGTTTTTTATTTTTATTCTCTTCAATGCGCAACGAAAGATAGTATGACGAAATCTCTTACGTGTACGCCTACGCGTGTACCATTCGAGACACCGCGCCGAGGTTAATTGCGGCTTTATCTTAAGAGCTCCGCGGTGTGACATCCGAATAAATTCCGTTTAAAAGGGTGTTCGAGACGCAGATCGTGAATTAATTATTACCGACGACGCGCGCGCCAGACAATCGTTACTCCTGCCCGCTATACGACCGAAAACCTGGCGCGGAACAGACTTTCGGAACTTTGAAAGGATATATATATACATATATATATAGGAAGTTTATTTGAAACCCGTGCATATATATATACATGATAATAATAAATTGCACCTATATAACAATTAATGGATATTTAATACGGTCCGTGAGGAAATCCGTATAAGTATATACGAGAATAAATTTAATCTATTATACGGCGTTTGAAATTTGTTTTAAAGATATTATCGTTTAGACGTGTAGTACGCAGGAACGCTATAGTGCGTTTAAAAAAAAAAAAAAAATATAACTGTACCGGAGATTATATTAATATCTAAACACCGATCTTGCGAAAAACCTGTAATCCGAGAAAGCGACCTACGAGGGTCACGGAGTTTTCACCGCAGAGGGTCGCCAATTATCTAACACCAAATGAAAAAAAATTACAACGTAATTATATTGTAAGTACTTATATATCTCGTAAAATTATTTTCTACCAACGACGGTGAACGTATGACGCTACACGTCGCAGACGCGTCAGACAACGGTCGTGTCGTATCTCAATTTTCGCGATAACAAGTTCTGTTGAATCTATTAAAATGTGTTGTTAAATGGTTCGGAGTTTGAACTTGACAGTTCACGTAGTATTATAATAATATATGAATTATTGTCAAACGAATCGAAACTGTATATACTATTAATTATTATGTAATGACAAACTCCGGCGATAACAAAAAAAAACCAATATCGATCCGGATTGAATGTCGAAACGGATTATTTAACATTGATAGTCTCAATCATAAAACCCGAATTAGAATCGATCATGTATAAAAATGTAAGCACAAGTTTCTCGTTGAATCGTTTGTCATATTTTATAATTTTAATTTTTTTTTTTTTTTTTTTGAAGTCAACTGTAACTGTGTATTAATTTTGAGATTTGATTTTTATTATATTTATATACTTCAAACGAATCGAATAAAATGATTAATATCGAATTGCTTAAAATTAACGATTTCGTTTGTACGGATATAAATTGCCTGTAACGTCAGTAGGGGATCGCCGAAATAATTAAATTTGAAGGTCGTGGTCGGGCGAAAGGTTGGGCACCACTGATCCTAGAGACGTGCAGAATTTTCGACTATCGTATGAATATTTTATACTTTATATAATACCGCGGGTTAAATTACATTTGAAAAATTTTTAAAAATATCGTTCGCGTTTTTACGTTCGGATTAAATTAAATTTTAATGATTTCCTCTCTCCCCCTATAACTTGAAGCGTCAAATACCTACGCCGAAATTCCTTTCATGCCCGAAATCACGAAGCCGAAAATATTATAAAATATCATTATAGTTTTTATTATTATTCCGGTCCGGACCGACAAAAGGGAACGGGCACTCATTAATTTCCCGAATTCGCTAACGAAGTGTCCGCGCGATCTAATTTAGATGACGTTCCCCTGGACGGCGGAACCACGTCTCGGTGCGGTCGCAGGACATGATTTATACGCAGCATACGAAACCTTTTTATATTATTATTAATGGGGGATAAAAGTCTTTCCGATATCCGATTATTTGCTACCGATATAAAATCGATAACCGATCTGATATTTTTTTGAAACCACGAGCCGATATTCAAATTATCCGATATCTTAAAAAAATCCAATATCCGATTTTTCCGATATAATTTAAATTATATATTGTAATATATAAAGTTATAGTAACGTGTTTATTAAACTGAGCATATATTTTTTTTTTTTGAAAAATACAGGATCTGATATCGTTTTATATAAAAAAAAAAACCCGATATATACCTCTTAAAATTGTCCGCCGGAGGTACGGTTTCCCTGAAAAGTATAATCATACCTTACAGTGTATATTTTGATCGTATAAATATGAACTTCCTAGCATTTTGCTACCCGCGAGTCGTATGATTATCCTAGGAAAATCGTATCTCCGATACACAATATAAGTAATTAGATACTTCCTATATAGGATTTTGGTACTGGGCCTATGATAGTCCTAGGATTATCGTATTGTGCGAGGAACGATTATCCGGTGGTACGATTTGCCTGTTACACTGGCCGACACGGACCGAGACGTTTAACGAACACGTGTGTACTTGTATACGCACACTGGGTTAGCCGTAGAAGGTCGTCGTCGATTATTGGCGCGAAAACCGTTTAAATGCACACGTATGCGGTGGTACCGGCGAAATGAATTAATTAATCGCAAAATACTTGTTGTACCGTCGATGGTTTCGCGTCGGAAAATAACCGATCGGTTAAACGCGAATCTATCTGGCACGTATAGCCAGTGGCGGCCGTCCTGGCCAAAACATGCGTTGCCGGGGGTAAGGCGTGTCTGGTAGAGAACTTGAAAATATTGCGAAAACCGGAGGGAAATCAACCCCGGCGTATTGTGTTATAAACTCGATAAAGTACACTGCCAAATCGTCTTACCGACCGGCTCGCCGACCGACCGATCGAATGTCGTATGCGAAGCTACAGTCGAACCGTACGATAGCCGCCGCCATGTGGATTTTAACGAAAAAAAAAAAAAAGGCCGTTTTCCAGGAGAACCGTACGAGGAATTTCAGAAAAGTCGCTCCGAGATCCGAAACACTGTACCACAAGCTATAATATGTTTATCGCGATAATCGGTCATCTGGTCGAACAACGGTTTGCGGACGGTAGAGCACACCCGTCGTAGTAAACCATACAGGCGTTTATCACTCCTCCTCGGAATGTCAATCTAAAAATTGCACGGGTATAATACGTATATAGAGTTATAAATAATTTTTAAAAAATGCAACGAAACACGCGCGCACCACGTTTTTAATTTTCAAGTATATATACAATACGATTTATTACCGATATTACACGAATACTGAAATACTTAAATTTATTTACATCGTTAGCGAAAAAATAAAAAAAAAAACGCCACAATATCGTAAATCATAAATCCTATTTATAATTATGTACCAGCGACATAAATAATATCCAGGGTACAAGACGAAACGCGTTGCATTGTATTACTTGCATATTATTATTATGCATGTAGTTTTTCAATGGATATCAATTAGCCGCGTTCCAAAATTAATATTAGGAAACGGTTTTGGGCCCATCGTATAATACGAAACTTGTGTAAAAATAATACATCAACGTCTAGACGGTAGAGACGACACGCATAACATGCATAATAATACATAAGTACGTTTCTTTCGACATCGACTATGGAGGCTGCGCAACGGCGACCAGCACAAATTAGCTCGTAGGCAATCATTATCATCGTATTGCTGCACGAATATACCTTCTCCAGCACTTTCTCCGTGTTATAAATTCGTCATAAATTAGCCCTACTTAATTGTTTTTATTTCCTTTTTAGGATTCAAAACGTTCCGAAATAGACGTCTAATCATCACCGCGTAACATCGAAATGTATTATTTTAATAGAACGCCGCGGTTCTCGAACGTCTCGCAACAAATAACGCCGGCTTTTTTCAGTCCGTCAACGAAACAACGTTCGTAGAAAATGCATGCAGTCTGTGCAGCCTGTATGTGAAAATCTGTCGAGAACGTATTGAACTTTTCAATTTTTATTGTATATTTTTTACCTAAATACCGTAGCCCGTTATAATCAACCGGTAAACAAATATCGGAGTAAACACCAGTAAAAAAAAAAATACAAATAACAGCCGACACATAAACCCATACCAATATAATTTATACGATAGATAGCTTAAACATAGAATCTATGGTAAATGTCCCCGTCCGGCCCCATATTCAGGGCGATTCAAAAACCTTTAACTGGATTGAAACGAAAATACGTCAAATAATCCTTAGCGTAACTAGAAACATTTCCTTCCAGAGAAAAATAATAGCATTTCAAAAGCTTATAATAATACAACTAACGCAACACTATATAACTAACTAAGGCTTCCCTAAAAAGTTAGACAACAGAAAACAACATCGAGTTTAGAACGAAATCCGTCACAGTGTGATATGTATGTTGAGATGAAAAAATCTACGTTGTTATCCATATGGACAAAAAATAAGTACCTAACGCGTATTTTAAAAAGGAAGACGCGAGTTTTTACTATGATGTGCGCTTTTAATTTATTTTATTTTGCTGTCTGAACCATTTTGGTCTACCAGAAATCTTGGTCCGATCGTCAATTTTATAGGTCGTTTCAGATGGACAATTTTTTTCTACATGGTGCAGCGAGAAGTAATTTTTTATTTTCCTTGCAACGTGGTAGTTTTCTTAATAATCGCGGAAAACTTCCGGAAAAACGAGAAAAAATTTACGCAGAAACGGTTAGTGTAGTTATTTTAAATTTTGTTTTCTTGCACTTGTTTTAGTTTGAACGCGTGGCAATATAGAGAACGAAAATAATATAATATTCTACGAAAACGTATAAAAAATTACGTTAAACATAATTTATGAGAATCGTCGAAATAATAATATAACACCGCAGTAAACACGTCTATACGAAATAAATATTTATCTTAGTGTGTATTAACGGAAAAAAATGGTCGGTTATTAATATTTTCGAAAAGAAAAATATGCAAATATTATGTTTACGATACTATAAGTCCGTAAAATATAGGTACTATAATATAAGCGTATAGAAATACCGAAAGATTATATTTATTTATTCATAATTATTTTAATTATATTTCAGGCATGATATTTTTTATTGTGCACGGGTAATATACGTAGATACCTGTATAGACAAACGAGACCGTAAAAATTAACCTACGGGCATTTTTTTTTCTATCTTTTTTTTTTAAATACTCGTCAGTATATAAATTCTATACCCGATAGATAGGTATACGTATACCCGAATTTAAAGTCTTAATCCTACACCCTTTTCGGTTGTCTCTCACTCTCTCTCTTTCTCTCCAAATCGCGCCGTTACCCGAAAACATAATATCGGTAGACGGCGATGCCTATCGAAAGTCAATCGATAACAATCATAATAACGGGCTTAGAAGCCCCTTGAGCAGTCGTTGGTTAATATAGGTGATCCCTCGACCTACACAATGTTTACCGCTCTCGTATACGATACGATTTTAATATACATTATTATTTTCTGACATAATTGTACCGGTGTTTACTAACGACTATACGCGCGGCCGTTTACGGGGCGTTTTCAAAAACATTTCGAATATCTCAATTCGATTTCCGATCGATACATATATATATATAATAGGTAATCGTATAATGTACTTACGAGAAACCCGTAATATCCGCTGTATAATAGTACGGCGAAACAAGAGCCGATTAAATAAATACGAGAGCGCATAACGGCAATAATAACAATATAATACGGAATAAACGAAATTATTGTGAAACGATCGGATTGAACGGGGGTTAAATCGTGCGAGGTGCGGGTACATTGCGAGACCGGTTAAACAGTGAACATAAATCAAAACGTGAAATACCACAGTGTTTCTGTGTTGTAAAGGTATTATACCTGTATGCATTATAATGTACAAACGCGTTAATCTGTGTAAAATAACTACTGTTCGAAATAGATTACTATAATATACTAGTGTACCGAGCTGTATTCAGTACTGTATAGGACATGTGAATTTAACGCGCTAAAAAAACCTTGAAAAAAGCGTTTAAAATGCGCTTAAAATAATAAAAAAAAAAAAACTACCGAAATTACATTTCGAACATACAATAAACATTTCTTATTATTGAACGCGTATACATAGTTCGTTTTTAATGTTCGTATAATCACCGCTTCAGTGTTTCATATTATTAAAATAAGTGTAAAAAAAAAAGTCGTCGAAAATACTATAAAACTAAATACTCTGAAAATGGGGAAAAAATTACCCGTGAAAACGAGGAGCGGGATATATTATTGACATGGGCGTGTTCGTGTACGAGTCTACACATTTTTGAAATCAATATTATAAACTGCGAGGGAAATTGTTTAATTGTTCTGTACGTATATAATAAAGGTATTTCGGAGTTGAGATTGTTATCGAATTAAATATTGTAAGTTTTAGACAAAAAAAAAAAATAAAATAAAAAATTACCAACACGTGACCCTATACACGCGTTGTAGAGATAATTATCTATCGTGTTTTACGACTATAACTTGTGTACCTACTAAAAAATAATAATAATTGAGTTGTAATTTTCGAATATAAAATTACACTGTAGTAATACACAGCTCCGGCAAACATATTAGGCGAGTTTTATACCTATACAATGTTTGTTGTTAAAAGTTAATTGTCCGTTTGACATTTACGGAATGGAAAAAAAAAAAGTTTCTCGCGTCAAACAGAAAAAAAAAACTTACACTTAGAGGAACGCTCGTATATAATAATAAAAACGCGTATTCGAGAGTATACATAATATACACTATATTATTATAATCTCGTTTAATGACGCATACGTAATTTTGTTTTAAGTGAATTTTAGTCCTGCTTACGAATTTCCTTCACGTACTTACCGCGTTATATATATAGTCTGCAACCATCGGGGAGGGGGCGAGCGCAAGGAAAAACAGCTGTTATTGTTATTTTATCACTATATAGGTACTTATACTAAAATAGTGTGTTTAATTTAATAATGTTGTACGCTGTGTGTGTTCCCGAAATAATATCTAAGGTAACAACCATTTTTTTTTTTTTCCCCCGGAAAATTTGTCTTTGTTTTCGCATACTATAGACCGCGTACCATATAATATTTACTTATACTATTGAAATGTTTCGTTCGTGTATCAGCAGTAATGTGGCAGAGTATACTCACCTGAAACAAATCAAAAAAAAAAAAAAAAAAAAAAAAAAAACATGCGTTAATATTTTACAATAGAATATAACAGCTCGCATTAAATACACGTTATGTTTTAATTATTATCGTTGGACCGTAATATTTTAAAATGTATACCAGAAAAAAAAAAAAACAGAACATCCGAACACCCAAATCGTTTTCACTGTTGGTTTTTTTGTTTTTAATTCTTTTGCTACCCGACCGGCCGTCCTAAAATGTTTATTAGGGACGCCGCGCCACTAATACGGACATATGATTTAAATGAAGTGGAACGGAGTCAATGCGAAGTAAAAAAAAAAAAAAAAAAAAACATGAATCCTCTGGACGGGCCACCGTGTGTATAATTATTCTGTCTTCTCGTCTCATATTATATTCCTGCAGAAGTATAGACACAGTCGTACTGCAGTAATAATAATAATGGAAATTAAATCAACTTTTTTTTTTTATTTATTATTTATATATATGTTGTTTTATTCAATCGTGTGTGGTCGCGTGTGGCTACCGATAATCGACCGCTTTTTTTTTATTATTTCGTTCTTTTATACGCATGTCAACAGTCGTGGATCTCTTTTAGCATCATGTGGCTCGTGACTATTTAATATTATATCAATACCAGATACCCGCTACTCGGTGGCGATATTTCGAATCCATATGGTATTCGTTTTTTTTTTTTTTTAAGTAGCGTTGACAAACTAATTAATGCTCGCAGAATTAGCGGGAACACGAAAGTATATTTCTACACTAACAGAACAAGTATATAATCTTGTACATTAAGGCGATAACAAGGACAGACAGTCGACGAAAATACATAATATGTAATACTTAATATGACATAAAATTAAATTTTGAAATAATGGGTAATTACTAAACAATTTGTTCGAAACGTTTAATCGTCGATTCGTAACTACCGTTTAAATTTTGATACTCGAATGTTATTTTAATATATAATAGAACCATTAAAACTATTATAGGCTATAAACTTAAACCTATGAACAGAGAACTTATATTGAGCAAGTACGAATTTATTGTCACCTTGCAGACGGAATGATAGAAGGAAATTAGACATTGTATTATATGTACAGGATTGCACAAAGGGAAAAAAATTACTTATTCACCGCGATAGCGTTAGAATCAATTCCAGGAAGATTTTTTTGAAGATACATTTACAGTTGTGTGGATTATTATATCAGGGTGTGAAAACTGGACGGCGAGTAAAATCGATATTTAGGGGAAAACTAGACGCATTTGAAATGCACAAGTATTACTGTAAAATAACGCTCAAGGTTTCGTGGTTTGGTAGTGACAAATGATAGATGAAGTCGATTATTGGATGTTACGTGTAGAAGGTAAAGCTGGAAGAAGACGACCAAGGATTTATACAGTAAGTCCATACGGACACGGGAATGAAAACTTGTCAAAAGTTGAAGGATTTTAGCAAGGAGAAGCACAAAGAATTCGCAGTCGGTTATAATCGAAAAATTGAAAGCCAGATGAAGGAGAATGATAACGAAAAACTTTGCGTAAGTATACGTCGTATAGAATGTTTAACAATATTACGGTAACTTCAGAAAACAATGTTTAAAATGGAGGTACCTGCGTAAGGAAACGTTCAATATTATTCAAATATTAAACAATCGAAACAACATTTAATTAGGCACCGGCGTGCAACAATTCGGAGTGCGCAGTGTTAATAAATTAAATTAATATTCTCTTAAGAAAACAAGTTCAAAAGGAAGTATAATGTATAGGTATTGTTTGTGTTTTTAAACTCGTTAAAAAACTACCACCGTGTACACTGTACAACAGGCGTACAGCTATTTAAAAGTATCGATTTGTAAGCTGTTGAGCCGGTGTAAAATTAGTGTAAAACTAGCTGCCTATATATTTTCGATGAATAGTGAAAATTAAAACAAAAAGTAAAATCAACAATAAGTTTTAAACGTCGAACTGTACTAATAAGTAAGTAATAACGTAAACGTGTGTTTATATAATGTATACTCGTTTTGTTTAAATTTTTGTACACGCGGCTCTGTTCCGTTCTACACCGGCAACCTTATTATAATACACATTATATTCCTTCCCCTATATTATCAGACCGGGAGGGGGGACCGTTTTTGTTTTTCTTTCAAAAATCGATGGTACGTTTTAATTTATTAGTGCCCAAAGTAAAAAAAAAAAAAAAAATACACAAGTACGCTATTATTACGCTATCTACAATAACCGTCGCCCATTGTCGCGTTTCGTTTTCACGGTTTTTGATTTGAAAATACAAATCCCGCGCACGTTTTTCTATAATCATAATATAAGTTACATACGAGTATCTACACGCCCGTGAATACATTATCCCGGAATAACATTAAAGGACATTCGTCATTTTTTCGTTCCGCCGAAATGAAATATCACTCGTTCAGAGCTGGTTTACATTATTGTTATTATTCCGTGGAAAACAATAATAATATGATATTTTATCACTCAAATAAGCCGTACCGGAGGATTCGGAATCGAGGTTGAAAGATAAGCGAACATCTGCACGAGCGTGGTCTACCGCATATTATTATTAGGTACATTATTATGTATGTAAGTATACGTAATAAACCGACCGGTCCTTTTTTTTATTACGTTTCCCCCCCCCACCTCCCTCTCACCAGACTGATTTACACAACATTCGCGTCCGTAAAAATTCGTGCCGACGGCCACCGCGTGTTTCCCGAACCTTTGTACAGGGTGTCACAACGCGCGCGCTCGTGTCCCGGTAAATTCGAGATTCGTATTGAAACACAATATATTATCATTTCCGTCGTTCGATTAACTAAAACGGCAATTTTCTACGCGTCCGATTGTATAATTCAATCGTGAATTTCGAACGAATCTGAAACTATAATTACTGTCGTTTAATGTCCCGTTTAAGCGAAACTTTTCGACTTTATCGGCGAAACGAATTTCCGAACATCGGATTTTTAAAACGTGTCGCAACGAACATTTTTTTTTCGGGATACCCTGCGTATCCCACGAATATTACGTTATTTCAAACATGCATGCCTACGGCCTTGATGCGCGCGTCTGAATAAAATAATAGACGTTAATATTAATAACGTAGACAGGCAGCGGATTCGAAGGGTTTGTTTTGTTGTTTTTTTTTAATTCAACACTAGCAGACCATACCCCGGTGAATGATGATAAATCATCGAGTATATAAGGCATTAAAAAGTTACAACAATTATTATTTTTTATTATTTTCAAATGACATATTCGACTTTAGATAACGTGAGAAATGTTATAGATAAATTTAGTAAAATTAAAACAAATAAATAAATATGATAATTAAGATAACTAGTCGACTAATTAAAAAAAAAATATATATATATATATATATATATATATATAAAATGTCAGTAATTCGACAATAATACAACAATAATAATTCGGTTATATACGATGAAATATTCTGTTACGATATACGAATCGAACTATATACAAACTAAATAATATTATACAGAGCCCTTATTGTCCCAGAACGGTACAAGTATAGAAAGTCACCACGGCTATTGGACAACGGGACGATAATAAATTACCGCGTTTTATTATAATATTTTCAACGCGTGAAATATACGAGTCTATAAGAATCCGTATTTTCAATTTCATTAAATGCACTATGTATATATATATGCACACTATAATACTCTATATATATATATATATATAGATGCAGTGGGCTTAAGTAGAATATACTGCAGGAAACCGCGTAGCCCGTTTAATATTTTATATAGGTAATATCGGAGTGAAACAAATAATTTATTTGGTTTTATATACGCGCGCGCGCGAGTATTTTCGTTCTGTTTTTTGGTTTTTATTCAATAAACCGAGAAAATTTCAAATCCAACGCAGAATATTGTAAAAACCTATACAGTCAACATGAAATTAATTTCCTGACGATCGATTTGTTGTATATTAACCGGCTCACAGAGAAAAAAATATATATATATATATGTATACCGTTGAATATCTAACTGTCTTTTCTATTTGCTTGGTTTTTGTCAGAATTTTATGGGAGGGGGGAAAAATGTTTCATTTTATACACGAATCGATATCTTTTGTTGCGCTTTCGACAATAGACTACCCGGCGAATCCTATTTCGGCGCCAGTGCATCAAGGGAGACCATTGGAAAGCAATCACGGTTTTCCTTTACGACTTATTCCCCTATATGCGCGAGGGCAAACGAATGCACATTGTTGTCCGGACGGTGAGGTGTGTCGTGTCGCTAATATGATAGCGCTGCATCACAATACTCGGCGACGGGGACACTACGACCCCGACAACGGTCTGCAGTATTATGGGACGTGTCGCCGTGATTGCGTGACGCGAGAGGTCGGCCGAAAACACTTGTCGAAAGTCGTCGACTCGAGTGTTTTTCGGAAGATTACGAAAATAAAAAAAAAGATCCGACGACGAACCATCGGCAATTTATATTGATAAGTTTTTTTGAAAATGTTTCAAGAGTTCATACTCTCCTCCGCAAACGTCCATTTTTTAATACCTATTGAATTGAGAATATTTTGTTTTCGTAGGTATTATTCGGCGGAGGACGATTTTGCTATAATTTTCGAATCTCGTAAGTATCAATTGAAAAAAAACCAAAAACCAAATACGAAACAAAAAAATGTAGGCACTGAAGTCGACGAACGACGAACAATACAAGACGTGTAAACCGCACACTGTCCAAAATAAAAACGCTACAAATGCATTGTAGTTTCCGTTTCTGTACGAATCCCGTATGTTTTAAAAGCTCGCGTCGACATCAAAGTGGTGACGAAATAAATGCACTTTGTTTGTACATGGAATATATATGTATACAATACGCGTCTACTTCTGTGCATTATTCGGCGACATATACGAATTCGAGAAGGTTATAAAATACCATTATATATATATACACGGGCGTTGTATAGGAATCTGGGTGGTTTCGCCCAGATATTTACAAAAGTGGCGTGCTTTGGATATTCTGCCGTACGCGCGGCGACGGAGAGCAACCCTCTCGATATAAAGTCCCTTAAACCGTAGCAAAGCGAATCGCAATTAATTCCGCATCACGGGGGCGTTTGAAAGCTTCGCCGTCGTCGTGTCGCTGACTTTAATTAGTCGCGCGCTTTCAAGTGTCCCGTATCGACAGTCCTTTCTATACGTATATAGTACACCTTTATACCGTCGCGGTGGTGAACCTCTGCTGTTTGGTCGTCCGAGTAAAACAAATTTTTTTTTTTTTTTTAATAAAACGTGATTTATTAACCTTCAGCGGCACAATATATACTAATAATTCGTCTGCGGGTGTGCGTATATAACTCGTATACATAGTTATTGGTATAATAAAAAATATTTTACGTGTGAAAAAAATCCTACACGCAGTTTTACTCTCCAGAATTTATTTGCACACGAACTGCGTGCTACATGAAACATTAAAATATGTTACGTGTGGGATACGATTTCAATAAATCGACACCCCACTCACTCTATGCATTTATAATGATAGGTAGGTACCGATATACTATACGTCACTGTACAAATCAAGTGTTACGCACTTCTAGACACTTCGAATTGATGTTCAGAAGTAGCGTTTGTAGCTATCATTCGTTTAACATATAACATTTGTTCTCAATTGAATCGAACAAAGAACAAAAAAATAAAATGTTTATTAAACGTTCATATAGTTCGTGCATATTATAGTACGTACTGAATGTTATAGAATTTAAATAACAATATAGGACCAGAAACAGTATATAGAATAAGAATGTATTTTTGTTATTATGAAGAAAAGGCGTCTGTGATTATTAGCCTATACCAATGTGCATGAGAGTTAACATTAATTTAACAGCGAAAAGATAAGAAAACTAAGATTTTGTACCGTATGCAGAATTTCAAAAGTCATTTTAGTAAGTAGGTTCATAATTAATTTTTATTTCAGTGTCTCCGTTGAGATCTTTTTCTAAATTATTGAGCGTGGACACCGGATTATTTTTTTTAAATTTTGAAGTCCTGGCCATTCTCGATTACACTTGAGTAAGCTTGACAAAATAATATTCGTGGGCGCATTGAAGTTCGATTATAGATTATTGTGGACATTTTAAAAACAGGCACCTAACTCCATTGAATCAATATCACTGATGGCAAAACGAACGAATTCTGTCGAGTTTAGGCATTATTTTTTTTATACAATTTTCATATTCTGTTCTAAATTGTATATTGTATATTTTCCGAAGTAAATATACCCGAAATCATTTCTAACTATAATTTATTACTCGGCTAAACGTGAATGTAAACGTGTACACGTTTTTACTATTAGTTAAACATAATTCGTATAAAACTCAAAAGTTATAACATAATGATATACACATAGTAGTTACTAGGTATTTATTTCCATCGAGTTTATATTGAAATTTTAGTACAGAACCGTGTTATTACACGTTACTTCACGACTAATTTCGTATGTTTACTACAACCTGTAATTATATAATGTTATATTATGTGTTTATAATACTATATTTATAAGGTATATGTAAGAATACTAGCGTGTACACGTTTGTAATACAGTTTTTTTAATAATAATAATAATAATATGTGCTTAAATCTAATAAAATATTGTTTCATTCATAAACCGACGTGTGTTTTTTTTTATTCAATAATAATATTAATACATTTCACTGAACTGAGAAAAATAATATCGTTATACCTGAAAATTGTTTATAAGTACAATTTACCGAGTGAACAAATTGTAGTACAAGCAAGTAAATGTTTGAACAGTTTAAACTCGGTGTCTACTGAGAAATCGATTTTTTTTTAGGTTTATGTTTAATGGTATTTTTGTCATGAATATCACCGTGGTTAGAAATCACACGACAAAGCAGAGAGAAGTAACGAGCTTGTCTATAATAGTGACGATGAATTCCGTCGAGTTTTTCCTGTCGCGGTGTAAACGTTGTCTACGCAATCGTTATTCGTCTACAATATAATAATAATTAATTTTAAAAAGGCGGTGGCCCTGCAGAGAGGAAATATTTCTGATTCAAAAATACAATGTAATTAATTTTTCATACCTACTATATTATATATACTATCCGCTTGATCGATTAAATATTTTATGAATAGTCATCATCACGGTGTAATCGATATTCGATGGAAAGAAAAAAATAAAAAAGCCAACCATATAACGCGTGAGAGAATTTTAAGTAGACGCCGAGCTCGTATAAGACTCGTAATTTAAAAAAAAAAATATGTATATATATATAAGTTAAGCCTTTTTTATGACACGAATATATGTGCGTATATTTATTATTATTATTATATATACCGGAGTTCTGTTTTTGTCGCGGCTATTGGAAGAGGGTTAGAAAAAATAATGGGACAGTTGGGCTTAAAGGGATTGGCGCCACAAACAGGCGTACCGATTTTTTTTTATTTTTATTTTTTTTTACGATTCGAGACAAAAAAAAAAAATAATAATAATAATAATAAAAAGGCATAGGAAGAGTGCGTTGCGGGGCTCTCTCTCTTTGTTTAAATCAAAATCAACAACGTTTCTGAATACGGAATTAATATAATTCGATGGCTGCAGTGCAGATCCGCGCACTTATGACCTCGATATTCCCACAGTGCTGCAGCGAATATAATATATAAGTATTAAATGAAAAAAGCCCATTGGCAACGCCGAAACGAAATAATTGCTCTCGTTGGCGGACAAAAATTATATTACATAAATTATGATTTGTGTGAATTGAAATGGAAACAATAGGATATTTTTCATTTTTTTTTTTTTTTTTTTTCGCGACCGACCAATTGAAGGGTATAGCCATTGTCGAGGTCGGACAATAATAATACAAAGAAGAAAAAGTGCTGCTCTTTGTACTATTTGCCATCATGACAAAGTGGTCGTCGATGGGTCGTGAAACAAAAATATAATACATTTTGAAACGTATCACTTTTGCCAGTGGTGATAGGACGGTGGCGCCGAACAGCCGATACTAATGTTGTAAGTCTGCGACGAATTATAAACCGAAAACCCGCTATCTATACGTACATTTGATAGGTGGCATCTATATAGATAGATATGTTGCTACAATAATATCTCTAACATAAATATTATAAAACAAAGTGTCGTTATCCGCGTCTGTCTGTACGCTTAGTTCTTTTGAACTACACAACGGATTTCGATACGGTTTACACACTAACATTTAGAGAATTTCTCCCGGGCGGTTTATACACACATATATATATATATATATATACTGAATACATACATATTAAGTAGAGAAAAGTCGATGTTTTGCGATCCAGTGGTAAAAAATATATTCTCGAGCGCTTACGTAGCTGGCTAAACAGTTTGTTAGATAAAACAAAATGAAAAACAGAAAATCCGCGATATTTTGTTTGGATGGATGTTTGTTTACCCCTTCGCGCCAAAACTACCGAACGGATTGAGCTAAAACTTTGCATGCATGCGCACGTGGTTCTAGACCAGCAATAACTGATGGTTTACGTTCTTTCCCCGAGGGTCCCCCTAAAGGAGTGGGGGAGGGGCCTGTCCCACGTGATGGTTGGCGTTTTTGGTATGAAATTCGAACTATTCCGGCCGATTTACGATGGGCCACACCTTGGCGATACGGATAGAAAAAAAAAAAATTAAAATTAAAACAAACAAAACGAAAACATAAATGAGCTCAAGGGCTGTAATAGTCGCCGCATGGATACGCACGGCGGACAGTATGCATAGTTACTATAGAAACTGTTTACTTAGTTCGTTGTCGGACGTTAAGTATATTTCTTTTGGCACGGGAGACGCGCGACGCTGGGCCTATAGTCTATCTATAAAAATATACTTATCAAATATTCATAACGCGTCAGAATGTCGAACGAACGAAATATTATTACGGATGTTCTAAAATTGAACTGAAATTGTACCCAAATGTAACAGTATGAATACAACCGCTTAGAAAAAAAAAAAAAAAAAAAAAACTTTCGAACATCTTTAACAAATTATTAGATACCTACGCGGTTTCAGGTAACAACACGAGTCACCCGTGTTTTTATAATGTTTCCGTATTATTATTATTATTATCTTCAATGAGAATTTTTCAAATAATTACCTCTATACCTACCTACATAATATTATATGAATGTGTGTATCCATAATATACTCGTGCGTATAGTTCTGTTATCAATTTATTAAAATCAGTTTTGATATTTTTACGCGAGCGAGCGGTTTGAAAAAAATATAATAAATCGCCCAAATTAATCACAGATGATAATTATCGATTAAGAATATTCCAATCGTGGCGATTTTCGTTTTCAATCAACTGCGGTCGGCTATAGCTATAGAGAGACGTTATAAATCACTGAAAATTATACCTACTTATTTACTACGTGTAATAATAAAAATACAAAAAAAAAAAAAAAACTAGTTTTACGTGGAGATTAAAATATACATAACTACTATACGTGTTATTAATCTATTAGGCCAATTTTTATATTAGATACCGGTCAATTTTTAAATGTGTATAGACACTACTATTATTACTGTATCGCTATTAAAAAGTATTTCGCGCGTATATATGTAAAAAAAAAAAAAAAAAAATGTCTAGTTTTTCGTTTTTTGTTTATTAATTAATTATTCCACGTTGTCCTAACATAATAATTGGATGGCCTGTATGAACAATTCTTGTTATTCAATAAATAGGGTTTTTTTTTTTTTTTTGTTTTTAAAACTCTGTATTTACACGGGTAAAATATTAATCGCAGACGTATCCTAGTTTATCGTTTTTTTTGGTTATTATAGGCATGTATAACGCAGGCAATACGCAAGCTTGTTAACGGCAATAATACAACGGAATAATTCGATTACGGCGAATTTAACTACGCCGCTGTAACACGGTTACAATATCGTTATTGTTCCCGCGCATTAAATACACGTCCGAAGGCCAATCGGGGTCTCTCCGGTCGAACACGGTGACGTGCACACCTACCACTGGCCGCGCAGTACACGCGCCGTAACGGGTACGCGCGCGACCACACGTCTCCGCCGCCGCCGCCGCTGCCCTTATTCTCCGCGCGCCCCTTGCGCTCCGCGAGTCGTATAAATAATACACGTCGTCGCCTTTTCGGGTACGTTCGAGAGTATTGTTTGCGGCGGCGGCGGCGACGGCGGTCGCGGGTTTGTTATTATCGTCGGCATCTGTGAGGCGTGCGATAATTACGTAGTGGCGGCGGCGGCGACGGCGGCGGCGGCGGTTAAAAAACAAACAATCCGACGACGGCGGGACGAGACGGGAGATTATTCCTGTACACTATTATAAAAATACACTGGACGTAATATTCCGATAAAAACTCGAAAATCATACGTATTACGATCGAGCTATATATACACATAGGGTACCTGAAATATTATTGTGTGTACCGGTGCGGAAAGTCGAATTTTATTCGAAAAGGACGCGTGAGGGAGGCTTTCTGTATAGAATATATATAAATATATATAATATATCTGTAGGCTAGCGGAGTGAAAAAAATATGTCAAAACACCACTGCGTAGTCGAACTGCATATAAGTTCAATATAATGCACACAAACACACACACACACACACACACACACATATATATATATACACACACACACACATACGATGAGGTGTAATACGAACTGTCTGTTATTATTGTGCAGGGACTCTGCTCCCTCTCCGTGTAAATAAATTCGAGCGCTATCGAGATCCGCCGTCCGCCCCCCCGTTTTTATTCGTCCGAGATTCCGTATATTATTATTATTATTATTATTATTGTAACGTCACCTATATGTATACCCCGCGTATATAGACAAATCCGTATTATTATTATTATTAGATATATTATTATCTCGTGTATACCGACATTTGGAATTTTGATTAAAATTTGAATAAAATAGCGTATGGTTACTTCTTTTTTTACATACGCGCGTAACACGGTTCGATAAATTAATAATAAAAAAAAAAATTGTTTATAAATATATTGAAAGGCGAATGAAAAAGCGCAATTTCGTCCGATTGAGAGATCCACCTACCCCTCATTCTAGTGAACAGTGAAAAAAAATCGTTTCTAAAGAAGTAAAAAAAAAAAAAAAACTCGATGGAAGGGGTACGACGACGACGACGACATTATATTGCTGCGACTACAGGTAGTGAGTGTGTTTATTATTTTTCCTTTCTCGTTTTTTCGCCCCGTTCGTTCGGGTAACGAGCCAAAAGAAATAATAATATAATTTCGACCTTTGATCTTTTTTTCAGTTCTTTGAAAAATGCATTTTTCTTATATTATTTCTAAATCATCGCAGTCTGCTGCAGTATAGGTGTAGCGTATATAGCGATGGCCTTTAACGTTGAATTTTTTTTTTTTTTTTTAGTATATACTGCAGAGATGTAACCGTGATCAAACGAAATATTGTGTTATTTCCCGGACACACCGACCCTACTAATAATACGATAGGACATCATCAAAACGTATTGTACTCCGAAGTATGACACGCAATGATAAAAAAAAAACAATATTACAAATTATATTATTACGTAAGAAAAGTCCTGCAGAACAGCGAAATATCTAAAAACCGAAAATAATTTAACATTATTTTTTACGCCGCTACAATTATATTATCGTTTTATGAATAAAAGCAAAGTTTTATTTTTTTTTAAATCGAGAATTATTTTACACTATGAGAATGTTATTAATTATAATTTAAATTTCACTATTGGAGTGGATGTCAAAAAAAAAAATATTGACCGGAGATAATACACCAATATGTAAATGTCATTATTTATTTATGAAAAAATTAATGATTAAATTTCCTAACAAGTTTTCATATTAATTTCACATAGGCACCACTACACTCACAAAGTGAAAAATGCGATGTCCATTTTGTTAAATAAATTTATTATGAATGAATAATAATTACATATTTTAGATTTTGAATGCAGCGAGGAATATATTGGTTTTAATTTTATTCGATTCATATAAATTAATAACATGTGTTTGGATGTAATTTATTTTAACGAAATGATTGACCAAGCTCCGCTCAGAATCGGTTTTTATTCATCGTATTGTAGGTATAAATTAAATAACCCATATAACTTATTGTATAAATAAATAAATAAATAAATTCTATCCGCCCTATACATTCCCAACTATCCATTGGCCGTATCAGCTCTCTTTTTTTTTTTTAATTGTATACTTAAATATAGATATTAAAATTATTTTTTTGTTTCTGTAAAATACGTCTGATTTTTATATTTTTATTCCGACGCGCAATATTGTTCTAAACTCTATAGTTTAATCTTAGTTTATACATTTTCAATATTAATAAGACCTCGAATAAAAAAAAATTCTAAAGTTTTCGTATTACAAGTATGATACACACATTTTTTGTTTCGTATAAAATTATCGTCAAATTCTTTTATTAAAAACCTCTCAAAATACGACTATTTTTATTGCTCTGTGTCTGTATAGTTATCCGTGTTACGTACAATACAAACAATTTGATATGCACAGTTTATTGCGTACATTATTTCTTTATATTACATATTATATTATATTATAACGTCGACAAAAATATACGCAATTCCTTAAATTCAAAAAAACCAAACCATTATTGTTAGGAGCATTTACTTCGAAAATATTACGAAGTACCGAAATGTTTTATAAATTTATATATTCAAATGTTATTTGGTTTTGAAACAGAAGTGACTCTTTCAAACATGCGAGTTTTGTCTTTATTTAAAAACACAAACAAATTCAATACTCTATATGAAATTGTATTTTCCCTAACACAAAGACATTTCAAACGCAATACCTACCCATAATATTACGACCACACGGTTTTAAGCGAGTAACCAAATGCTGATTTTTTTTGTATATAATTTTTACCGAATACCAAAATAGAAACCTAGAAATGGAGATTTATTCTTAAGCACATTCGAGTTGATATTTAATGGTATTCGTGTTTCTACGTCCACCGAAAATTCGTCAGATTGTGCGATATAAATTAAATTTTACGCTGACCCCCGTTTAATTTAAAATCCTTATTATTTGTATGGGTATAGGTTATTTTTTCATACACGATGGAAAGATAACGAGATATGCAAATTGGCACTGACGACGAGAAAAATCGAGAGGGAAGACCCGTGGGCCGCCCCGGGCATAGGTGGATATGGATACGCTGAAGACTGACCTTGAAAAACGTACACAAGATTCGAAGATATAGAAGATAATGAAAGAGGGAGGGAGATGCGGTGTGAAAAAGTGAAAGTAGCGAAGACTCTATATAGACTATAAAAGCTACAGAAGAATATAACACCAAGATATATTTTAGTCGCAGATGTTTTTCGATTTTATATCATAGCTGAGTACCATAGACTATAATAGAGAGTACCAAAAAAAACAAACGGACATACTTCGCACGATGGGTGGACTACTTTGTAGGTGAGAAGTTGGGAAAGTAGATGGTAAATTTAATGTACATCTGTACGCAACGATTGATCATTGCTAACGGAAAACGATTCTGAGCGGTTGTTATACATGTTTTGAAAAGCCGTAATACAGTAAACCCATCGTACCCAATATTTTACAATATTTTTCGCCTAAAGTATCGGTGTAAAAAAAGACACCATTCGCGCATCAATTTATATGTTACGGTCAATGTTGTGAAATCGGTTGATGTCTTATCTGCGTTGATTATTTTTTTTTTCGATATTTTAATTTTCATGTCAGACAGGTAAGCTTGAAATTTAAAATATCGGAATAAAAAAACCCAACGTACACAGACAGACAATGCGGTCTTACCTTCAAAGTTTGGTAATCGGCAAATACACCCCAATGTTAAAATGAACAGCACGAAATCGGTTTTCGCGTACGAAAAAGTTTAAGCACAACGACATTAACCGCCTATTGCACAACATTTGCACAGTAGGAACGGCCCTCTCAGTTATTATAATATCGCCTACTCTGTAATGTTACCGCCCGAACCGTGCGGCGGGGCTGCAGCAGAGTCGACGTGGTTAATTGACGATTTACACGGCGGCGCGTGCGAATATTAATCGAACGCCGGCAACGCCAACGATAATAATCGGTACAGTCAGACCTGGGATAATTCGATTAACGTCCCTTTTATCATCAGGGTGTACCCATAGGGTGGCGGCGAGAAAGTCCGCGGATATTCGCCGTCACAACCCGCGGACCCATACGTACTGACAGGCGGTGTGCCCGCGGCAATAATTCGCGGCCACGGTTCGTTAAACGCCGCGAAATATATTGCAAATTCAAAGGTATAGCGGCCGGCGTCAATTTTCGACGGAGACTTTTCGAAACGGCGGGAAAACGCCGTGTATAATCGGCGTTTCCGATATTATCGATTTTTCCGTCGCCAACATTATCTAGCTAGGTCAGGTTAGGATCCACGTATCCACACTGCAGATGTACATATTATTATTATTATGCAGTACGCGCGTATGTATATACTGATTAAAACCCAAACTATGCCCCGTGTAATCCTCACGGCCGTTTGAACGTCTTGTCGACGCGACGTACGCTAGCCGCGCAGCCGGTAATCCGATTATGTTATTATTATTATTATTATTATTATATTGTATATATTATATAGGATGTATACTGTATGGGAGTATAGTGGTAGTAGCAGCAGTACACGTAGCTAGTGTATTATAGTAGTAGTATAGTAGTAGTAGTAATAGTAGTAGTAGTAGTAGTAGTAGTAGTTGTACAAGTCAAACTTCAACGTGTACCTATACACACACGATATTATTTAATCCGATATTCGATAAGCTCGGGGCTGTATGTGCGTGTGAGTGTGATATCTGACACGTTCTTTTCAATGGATCATCGTGAATGTATATTTATAATATACTATACGCGCCGTATACCGTCGCGTATTAGTATTCCTAATGAAATATTTATATTTTTCCAGCTGCTCGAAAGAATTCGTATAATACGCCGGTATTTAATAAAAATAAAAAAATAAAATAAAACGCACGGTTTTTTAAACGCTTTACCGCCGCCGTCGACTATTCACGAACGAGTAGGTAATACACACAGGCGGCTGTACAACTGTATACGAGTATGACGATGGTATAATATTATAACGGTATATACTTTTTATGAAACAATGCATCTTTACCCCGCTGTCCGCGTTGAAATTAAAAATAATATATTTTATAAACGCGTAAAACGCACCCAACATATGCCATTAGAACCGTACACTCAAAAATATCGTCGCGGGTAAAATCCTATGCATCCTGTACCGGGGGTCGGGAACCCGCGGCTCCTTATTAACATGCGCGGTCTGCGCAAAATGCGGAAAACTTACCCGAAATTTAAGGCGTATTATTTTGTTCTCAATGCCTATACCGATTCCCAATGAAATTGCTTGGTTTTTTTTTTTTTTTTAATCTTAACCGTTGCGCGGCTCTTTGAAAATCATTGCTATGCAACACTGTTTTTTTTTTATTGAAAACTAAACTGTCTCATTTACAGGAAAAGGTTCCCGGCCCCCGTCCCGTACGCTCATTTTGTGCGATACAAATTGTTTTTGTCGCGTAGAGACTGGAAATTCAAAACGGCACGTGCACGGCGGTGTGTTTAGGAACCGACGGAAGTACTGACTTTACACGCATCGAACGGCCGCGCAGCGAACACGATTGTTGCGAACCGATTCGTTGAAATCCGGTAAAAACTTTTACGCTTCGACCGCGATGCTCGCCACACACGAATGACCGCTGAAATCCGTAAGTTTGTTGCGTACGTACGTTTACGCCGGCGTCTCCATTCCGGTACGCGCGTCCGGCGGTTTAACGCGGTATCGCGTGTAGGTGGGGGGGGCGGGGGAAACCACGTACATTTACAGACCGCGCGAAGGTTTCCCATAGCAAACGCTCATAATCTATTTATCGTATTGCATAACACGGCGTATACACTACGCACACACGCACATACAGGAACGTACAGCGACGTACCTATTATAATACATACGCATAGATGTTATACCTATGCACTGCGGTATACGCAGTCCGTACTGTTGTACGCATACGACGCGTTTTGTGTAAACAGCAATAAATGCGCCCATTGTGCGGTCGGTGCCGTTCGTAATCGGGCCACTTAAAAAAAAATAAACGCGCCGAGCTCCGTGAATGAACAACATCCTCTCCTCGTCATCTGGAACGTCAATAAACCTCGTGACCGTGCCCGTCCGTTCGTTTTAAATACGGGCGGCCGGCGGAAGAAATCGAGTAACATAAGCACTACAAAAGGATTGATCGTTATTATTATTATTATTGTTGTTGTTGTTATTTTTTATATACAATATAAAAAAATTTACGCGCTTATTATTAAAAAAAAAAAAAACGTAGGTGGCGACGGAGGCTGTGCGTGTGTAATATATTTTTCGAACGCGCCGTCCGGGACCTACGGCTGTTATTGAGCGACGAATAAAGTTTAATCGGTATATTACGTCCGTGGTCTTCCGATAGGTTTTCGCTTCCGGTGTTTCAAAAACAAAAAAAAAAACCACTATAATTTTTACAGCGAACGCGCGATTTCGGAAGAACGGATCGTAAACGCGTGTATTCCGTAAAACGGAATCGCTGCAGAGATGGGTAATTAAAAACCATAAAAACGTAATGGCCGCGATAATAACGTTTACGATGTTGAACGAAAGCCGGTTTAGCGACTAAAACTTTTCAGATAAACTCGCCCGAAATAAAGTGAAAACCGTAAAACCGTGCGTCGGCGTGTATATCGAGACCGTATAAACCAAAACTCTTTGGACCGGTCAAAGCCGAAAAATCACGGATCGCTCTGATAATGCGACCGCGGTGTAGTTTCATTGAAAACGACAAAAACATTCGATGTACTGCCGATGGCCGCGTCACTGTTGTTTAGGCGAAAAGTCGGGAACGTAGGATACATAAAGTTAATATTAATCGTAAGCATCGATAATAATCCATTGCAAACGCAGTATGTTCTGAGCTGAGTTCGGTTTTAAACGTGTTTTGCAGCGCCGTAATACTTACGATTTGAAAATAATACGTACATTTTCCCGTTTTCTTCCCGTTTTTATTGTGAAAACTCCTGGGAAAATCAAAAAAATGACTTTCCTAAAGAACCACCCCAGTCGGAAAAGCTGTTCACAGAAAAAAAAAATGTATAATAATCATCATTGTAAAACCAATACAAAATATGCCGTGTATAAACACGCGGTGACCAGATTGCAATAAAAAAAAAAAAAACCAAACTAAAAACTCACTTTACGGCACGAGAGATTTGTTTGTGACGGTTTTGTGTGTGTGTGTGTGTGTGTGTGTGTGTGTATGTGTGTAATTGTGACGTATTGTTCGCGACAATGTGCAATTTCCATCAAATTCGAGGGGAGCGAAGACGGTAAAATATTCATAAACACCACAGCGTGCTGTATAACAAATATTGTATAAACATACAAGCGACAAGCGAATAAAATTAGTAACGTAATAGGCCGCACGAAGACTCGCTGCAGTCCACAGTACGCGCGTAAAAAACGAATTTCCCATACCGCCGCCGTATTGTATACCGAATACTGTACACGGCAATACCGGAAGGTCTGTACGCCGAATCGGCGATTTTTATGACCCGAGATCAGCGTGGCCGTGCTTATTAAATTATTTGTCGTAATCGTGTTTTTAATCCTGTACCGTAACGCGATATCAACACTTTCAATATAATAGTTCAGTGGTTCGGTGCGAGATGGTTTATTTTTTTTTCGAAAAAAACAAAATCGGATAGGAATAAAACTAGAAAAACCGTAGTACAGTTCTTTTCTTCTAAATACAAATTGTTTATGTTTATGTAAAATTTGAAAATTACGCGAACATTTACGGTTAATGAAATACATCTGGCCTTGTGGGCAATTAAAATTTCAAAGGTCGTTTATTGCCGTTGGAGACTCGTTTACGCACATATTAATATATTTTTCAAATTTACGTCAACTCGTTTACGTGTACAAAATCGTACACCGACATTGGCCCTTCTCGCACAAATCCACGGAGTTGATTCGTCTTTATTTATTAACAATTCTCGTCGTGCGGAATTGACGGCGAGAAACAACGACGAAGTGAAACAATTCAGAACTGGGAACGGGCCCGGTATTTAATAACAATCCTACGAACGTTATGCCGGCCGGTGTTATCGGTGTGATCATCGAACGCCAAAAATAATGAACATAAATATTTTCTATCGTGTCCGACGTCGGGGTGAAATGTTCGCCCGTTTAACATCGTTGACATGCACATTCCGGTGTTGGTCCGGTGATGGCGGAACCGACTGTGCAGTTTCGACTATCGATTGTCAATCGGTGATTTAATAGACGACCGGATGTATTTTCGGCCGAATAAAATGCCGTCATCGATTATTGCGAACGGACTACTCGACTGTCCGACAGTTTCGATAGTCGATGGTTTTTCGAAACGACCGAGTAGATGGTTCGAAAATACCCATCGAGCCGGTCGGCGTTTTCCGCTCGGTAGTGGCCCCCGTCGCCAGTATTACAGTCATTGACGGCGTATCGGAATCGCGCGTCCGAAAACAATCAAACAGAGTTCGGTCCGCGGCGCGCCGCACGGCGTCGCCGACGAATACCGCCGCGCGCGCAACAGAGAGATCCGTTCGCGCGTAGGGCCGAGAATTAATTACTTCGTTCTCGCGTGTCGCGCGGGGTCTTCCACACGCGCGCGCGCGCACACACACACACATACGCGCGCGCGCTCGCGCCGTCCGACACCGTATCGTCAATCATCCCCCCCCACCGCCCTTCCGCGTGTCCCTCGCCTACCCCCCCTACCCGCCCTGCGCGCCGCTCGCCGCGTCGGGACAGAAAACGCGCTCGCCGCCGCGCGTTCGGTCCGTCACCGGCGCGAACGTCTCTCGCGTGCGCGCCTACCTGACAGGTGGTTATCAAAATATTTGTGTTAATGGACTTTTTATTATCTACGCGCGGATATTTATATTTATATAAACGTCGCGCGTACACGTACACGCATCACCATGCCCACAGTACGTATTCCTACAAGTGGTTATAAAGCGGTTTCGACTTAAAAGGATACTCTGTGCGGCCGTGTCGTGATGCGGTACGCACGATATAACATATAGGCGGGCGCACACCTTTATCTCGCACGGGTCGAATCCACACGCACAATAATAATATTATCGTATAATTAGTGCGCGGCATTTTTCTTCGGTTTTTTTTTTTTTCTGTTCCGTAAACGACTCTTGACTAATGTTCGACAGCGGACACGAATATGAATAATTGTCGTGAACGTTATAACGACCGACGCAAAGACGACTACGCGGTTATGCGTGCGATTTACACCGCGCGCGCGCGTCTCCGGTCGAAAAAAAAAATACACCTATGGGCGTAACAGGCGCAATCGGACCGCCAATCCTGAGGGTGGGGGGTGCTGAAATTATTGACACGTCGAAGACCCGCGGGCGCTATGTCCCCGCAATCCCATTTACGTGAATCTTACAACGGTTAACTACACATTTGGTTTACAATTTCGTACGCGTACAAACTTATCGTGATTATTTTTAACATTATTTTCCATGCGCACGTGCGTTGTCTGTGGAAAACCTGTATTTTGTTCTGTTCACGAACTACGCGAAATACGCGGATAAAATATTTACTACGTCATTACTACGAAAAACCTGATCGGGTTTTTCGGGGAGGGGGCGCTAATTTTAAACTCGGGGGTGCTAAAGACCCCTCAGTCACCCCTCCCCCCTAGTTGTCCTTATGCGGCTATAGGCACTACCGCGATAATAAACCGACGGCGTCACGGCGAAAACGATAAAACGACAGTTTTCGTCCGCGTATACGTGCGCGGTGGTTTGAAATTGGATACGCCGAATAATTTGTTTTCGTATGGTATCGAAGTTCCCGGAGGTTTTTCGCCAATCGAAATCTCGAGTGAAAATCCCAAAAGTCGCAGTTACAGTTGCAGCGTACAATTATCAATCCAGTTTACGTTTACGGCACACGCCGTTACTCACAGCGTACAAGACGAGAGTAAATTGTTAGATGCGACCGTTTTTGTCATCACAAAAAAAAAACGATCACTCGCATGTGCTGTACAGCAAAAGCATGAGACGAATAGGCATTCCGGGTTTTTCGTCGAGATTTCGCGATCATTGTTTTTTTTACCCCGTTTCATCAACATTGTTTTATTCCGCATTTATTAAACATTATTTCAGGACGGCTGTTACGGTCGAATCGTTCGTTCGATTTCGGTAACGCGTCCTATTACAATGTTTCGGCGCGATACTACTGTTAAACGTAAAACACGCGTAACTCGCGAGAGAACATCGAAACGAAATAAAACAACACGCGTAGTAAGCGCACACGCAACACGCGACGACGCATTACGGCGGAGCCGGTCTCCGCGGTTTTAAGCGCGGAACGGAGGCGAATTCCCGCGCGTATTTCGCCGGCGTCGCGGACGGCGGCGTTTCGTTTTATTTTGGCCGTTTCCAATTATGCCGACGGTTCGCAAACGAAATTCAAATAAAGTAAATGCACGCGTTTCCGAGGCGATATTGAAAACGTATTCGGACGAGAGAAATTCCGGACGGAATAGCGCGCGACCGCCCGCCGGAAGCCGCACGATAACGTATTACAATAACGCACGGATCGTCACGAACCTTCCCGCGTATTGTTTGCCGTCGGCACGGAGACGGATTAGGTCCCGCGATTCGTTTCGCCGCCCGTTAAAACCCCGTCGACATTCTAGTCGTTTTATTGGGTTTTTTTTTATTCCCCCGCGTGTGCGCGCACATAACGATATTATTACCGGCACAGTCTCGTCTCGGCGGAGACGGTGAAACGACCGGGCCCCGCGCGCCGTGTACACGCGGGCGGTAGCAATCGCTGTACACGGTTCGCGCGATCACGCAATTATACCTGTACCGACACGTGAAACGCACGTATTGTTGCCCTCGCCGACCGACCTGACCGAGTCCTGTTCGGTCCCGAACTACCGAGACGGATCGCACTGAAATCCGGCGTACAGGATAGCTTATGTGCGACGTGGGAGGAGAGGATTTTCGAAAATTCGACCTCTAAGGCGGCAATACGAGAGTTTTTTTTTAAGGTATTTTCGAATAACAAAATAATTAAGTAAAAACAAAAATTATTAAACGGTCGACACTCGTAAATGAATACGTAAATAAATGAACAAGTCAAACGTCAGGGTCGCGTTTTACATTTTGACTTGGCGGTTTTACCAGACGATGAATTTTTAATCCGGCCTGTACAATGTACGCATATCGTAACACTCCGGGCGACGCATTCATTGATTAATTGATTAATTAATTAATCAATTTATATATTTGATTATTCTCGGTACGATTATCTAATATTGTCGGTTTATCCGTGGACAACTGTAACACACCTTGGCGATACGGACGGGATAACAGAAAAAAAATTCGCCCGGGCAACGCTGAACGGGAGGGTTTTCGATATTTTCTGACCGCCGATTGAATTTTGTTCGTCGATTTATATGTTGTCTATTTGGACAAGAAAACGATTATTATTTACACCGTTATGTAGCAATAGCAAAACATTTACCCCTACGATACGAATGACGAATCGAGATCGGTTCTGGATCGATTCAAAACCGACGAGTGTTATCCGAATATTTCGACTTTCACCGCGGTGCTGTCGTTGCGGGCGCGCGCGTTTAAAGCGCAGGCCAGAAGGTTAAAAATATCCGGCGGTGTTCCCAAAGGGTCGTGCTGCGTAACACACCGCCGTATACTCTCAATCGGTTCCCCCTCTCCTCCGCCTTGTCAAAAAAAAATCTCCGTAACGTGTATAATCGTTGCCCGTTGTTCATACCACTTCGGCTCATTCTTCTTCAACAAAAATACGAGTACATTTCAACGGTAATTCGATCCGAAAATAATATAATATATTGCACCCGAATCGCGAGGAAAAGCTCGATTTACCGACAATACCGGTCGGATATTTAAAACGGGCTTTTGAATTCCCGTCGTCGGGTCGGGTTCGGCAGTTTTTGGAATCAGAAAAGATTCTATATACGATTCGTTCGCGGGTTTATTCTACCCGCGTCCAACGCTCGCCGCCGAAAATTTCCAGACGCGTCGCTGCGGTAAAACGGCCGGAGACGTATACGAAGTTAAGTGGATATATTTACGCCGATTTGTCCAGTGAGCGATCGAGTGACGGCCACGATAGATACGCTCCTCCGGTTATAAACCCCTAACGGGAAGAAAAACAATTAAAATTATCTCGTTCCTAAATAATTGATTTGGGAGGCTCTGTGAAAAACTTTTTTTTTTTTTTTTTTTTTCAGCCATACTTATTCGGTTTATAATGTATACAACTCGTATAATATGAAAATGCACACGGTATATACACGCGTATACACTGCACGACCTCTGGGAATATAATATGGCCCCCTTTCGCGCTGCAGCATTTCCATTTGTATGCCGTTTATTTTTATTTTTTCCCCGGACGAGAAAATAATATGTAACCTACGCGCACAGCACAAAGGTCGCGTGGGGGGATCGGGAAACAATGAGAACGGGCACTGGCCGCCGATTCAAAGAACCCCGGGTTTTTTACCCTTTGTTTCTAACGTGTTTCTGCCTTCCGCCCCTCACCATAGCCTGCAGTACTTATCTATATATATATATATATTACGATATTTTTTTTCGAAAATTTATTTTCATTTTTTAAGGGAGGAACTAAACGCCGCGCGGTGACGTTCGTCTACTGAGGGGAAGGAACGGCCGGGAAGTAGTTTGGTCAACCAGAACTTGTACATCCGAATGCGGACGCAGATACAACGGACGAGAAAAGTTACCGCGATGGAAAAAAAAATAATAATAATAAACGCGCTCGCGAAATAAAAAAATAATCGACCGCAGCGCCTGCGTGTATTCGAATTCGATTTTGTAAATCAGTTCTCGGAAGCGTACGCGGGCTGTCGGTCGTTTTCTAGTTTTCGTATCGGAATATATTATAATATCATTATGCATCGGCGTTGTGACGTACCCTGTGCTACCAAACGACCTAGCGAGTTGTTACTTTTTTTCGGAAATTCCGACGAAAAAACAGCCGCTGCGATATCTGATTAATGGATTTGCCGCCAATGGGCTGTGGTTGATTTTTAAAATTGTTTAGTTTATCACGAAATTCGTGTTTAAATTCATTGAGGTGCAAATTTGAAAGAAATCAAATAAAAAAAAATATTTTGTTACGCCCCCCCACCCTCCACCCCGTTTAACGGCGCCCTAGGCCGCAGCCTTTTCAGCCTATCGGTCAATCAAAACCTGGCCGCAACAAACACAAATACAAAGGATATAAAATCGCGCGTATTAGTAGTAGTAGGCCTGCATATACACCACGAAGAGTTTTTTTGACAGTTTTGAACCGCGATCCATGTCCGACCGCGGTTTAATCGTCAGTTTTGGAACGTGGCAATTATTCTGATCGGTCATTTGCCCGTTGACTCGACCTAACTGTCCTCTCGGTTGTCAAAGTACAAACCCTGGAAAGATCAGAACCGCCGATTAGTGCCGTAAGAACCGTCAGATTTCATCAATCCGGACGACGTGGCCACGTTAGAACAAACTAATATTCCAAGAGGATTGCGTGCAGTTCTGTCAATGAACTCGGGCGTGCTAATATTAAGATGAGATTTCGGGATGCCCGTCAACGGACGATTTCGCGACGGATTTTCGTACGGTTTTGATGTCGCGCGTCGGGATTTTTAAACGTATCGTTCCAATCGCCGATACTGTTGAAAAAACCGCTCGTGAAACGTAACGTCTCGTGGCGATGTTCGGATTCTCTTCGAAACGGAACGCGCCACGGTGCCATTCGGGTTTTGTAATCGCGTCGTTTAATACGTATGCGACGACATTAATCAACCGGACTAATCTCGAAAATTTATAATTCGTCATACCTACGCGCGTTCATAAAAATATTGTACGCGGGTCCGCGCGCGATTAAATTAAATTTACGGATTATTATTATTATAAACTATTTTATCGCCCCGTTATTTTTTTTTCCCCCCTCGACGATAATACAATAATTACACGGGAGCTTAAGTCCCCGGGTCTTGGCGGGCCGGCCGTGTAACAACGGCGTGTGTGTATAAAATATATATATATATATATATATTTTTTTTTTTAACATTCATCGTATCACGGACACCCAGATTACCCTAAGCGTCCCGACGTCCGCGTCGTCACGTACGGACCGTAAAACGCGGCCCGGCACAATAAACACGATTCGGCGGACCGTCCGCATAACATTAATGCGTCCTCAGACGTCCTGCAGAGCTCCGCCGTCGACGCCGCGCGGTTCTGTATCGTTTATATCCCCCGACGCGTTTCTACGCGTTATAGGTGAGCCGCCCGTTCGACGGAGCTGCCGTCCGCATGCGTCGGCCGAAATTATAATGTTCGCGATTACCATAAACGGCCGCGCGCGCGTATCACAAAAGGCGGGCGACGAAACGCGCCGCGCGGATCGCACGTTTTTATCGCGGCCGTGCGATACGGACGTCGCGGCGAGACTACGAGAGCCGCTATACGCGCCGGGTAACGCACCCACTGCTGCCCGCGGTCCGATTCGTGTAGATTTCCATAGACCGCGTACCTATTGTGCACGTGTTCACGGGTACTTTTACACGCCCCGTAACGGCCGTGCGTGTCGTTCGCGACGCGATCGCGATTGCCGTCGTTCCCCCACTGTCCCCGACAAACGCGCGCGCGTCGCATCATCTCCGGCGTCTACGCGGCCGAATAATAAACCGAAAATCGCCGTTCGCACCCGCGAAAACGAACGTAAAATACGAATCGAACAAGGCGTCCGGGGCGCGGCCGGGTCGTGGATTATGGGGGCCCGGGGCTAAAGACTAATAAGTAAAAATGATTCGTATATAATGTTCTAATGTTCGTATAAATGCAAAAAAAAAAAAAAAAAAGAAGAAAAGGTCATCGACAAAAACACGCGCTGCGTGGCCCTCTTCAACTTGCGGCCCGGGGCTGTAGCTCCCTAAGTCCTCCTCCCATTGATCCACCCTAGGAAAGGGGACCGGCGAACCCCTTACCTCCCCAAACGCGGAAACGTAGACGTCGTTTTTGTTTTTCGTATGCCAATAATTATAAGGTATTAATAAAGGGTACGTTAATCGTATAGTAGGGCGGAGCCGCCAATTGTGCGGACGTCCCGAGGACTTTATCCCGTTAATATTTGATAATCTAACCGTTTGTACGGTTATCGGCGAATGAAAAAAAAAAATTCAAAATTCATCTATAAACACACTGTTATGTTAGTTCGCCTTTGAGCGGTTTGAATTTCAGAGCTTCGAGAACGTCGCGAATTGAAAAATTACTATATTAACATTTTAAAATTGTATATTGCCGTTCTGTGGCCGTCATATATCTACGTTTTCGTAATAATTGATTTCGCGACCCAGTAAGCAAATTATTAACGTGGACGAACACGGCATAATGTGGAACATCAACTTCCAAATTACACTATTAACGAATGAAATAAAAACGACCGTCCGTAAGTGCGCGATGACTCGACCTGCGCGTGATTATCGTTATCGTATTAAAATGTATTATTTATTATTATTTAATGACAAAATAATGGGTATAAACACTTTTAAACGTCGGCTAATTCAGTATTTCGATTTGGAAATTATTTAAAAAAAAAAAAATAGTTACTATAGAGAACAATAAAACGGATTTAATACACGCATTTAAAATCAAAAGTTCAAAGATCGCGGAATCGATGCGAACGGGTAAATTCGCGTAAGATCCGCGTGAATTCGCGTACGGTCCGTCGTTTGCCATGCGTCCGCGAACACGTTCGTAACATATTTCGCATCTCGTGTCGAACATGCGAACTATCCAATTCTCCGAGGAAAAAAAACGCAATCAAAATTATTTAGCCTGACCGGGCGACGCGTTTTGAAATCACCGCTCCCCTATAAGAAACAGTCGAGCCGCTGTCACCTCTTGTGCCGGTTTCACTACGAACCGACCGAACGAGATTGCAGTAACCTAACCGAAATACCGTCCGCGGCCGTGGACGTCTCCGAACCGAATCGCGAACACACGCGAACGTCTCGTTCGTAAATATCAAAAATAACCGACGAGTTTTTAACGAAACCGCGAATATCGGATACGCTCCACAATAGTGTGTACCGTATTTGTACACGCACGTGCGTAATAGAGCGGCGGTTCTTAAACTTTTTCGCCGAGATAACCGAGTGCTAACGCCCCGTTGAGCAAACCTATTGGCTTGTTATCGCCTCATCGGTCTTTCGCTTTTGCTTTGTCTTTTGTATACGAGCATTTATGTGTTGTAATGCGGGCATCTTTTACCGATGACCTTTGGTTTTTTTTAAATACTTGTCGTTTTTTTTATTTGTCCGTCGTTCCGCATTTAAAACACGTTCACGGCTCCACTGATAAACCGAAATTCTAGGGGCGTCCTTCCCCCCCTCCCACCCGAGAGAAGTGGACTTACATTGACGTTTGGCGTAGTCATTGGTCCAAAAGCAGTGTCGTAGCTAGCGGGTAGGCCCGGGCCTGCCAGGCCCACCTCATTTTTCTCCGAAAACTAACGCAATTTGTAAATTTGTATCGGCAGTGTTTCCCGTTCAAAAATGTATATTATTAATTTATCTGGCCTACCCGGAAAGATATTTCCGGCTACGCCACTGACCAACCAGTCGTAGATATAACCGATTTGACGTAGTTTTTTTTCTTATCGATCCCCTCCCCGTAGCCAAAGTCCGGGGACGACGCCACTGCGAAATTTCGCCTCCCCCTCCGGAAGTGTCGTCCGCGTTAAGAGCCGCCGGCGTAGATGAGCGCGCGTGTACACGCGCGAGCGCTCGAAACTCGATGCGCACACCCGTTATTTTATACGGGTACCCGTTATTGTAAAACCGATTCTCTCGTTTGTGATGTAAATCGTCGCCGAAACGTCGTTACATTATTACGCCCGCGAAACGCAATCTGTGCGTAAATATTATAACGCGCGTACAGGTACGCCCGGGGACCCGCAGTACGCGTTGTGCGCGCGTTATGATTTCATCAAAGGTGCCGAGGGTGCGTTGCAATTACCTCCGGTGCGCGTTAATTTGAATGCATAAATGACAAACGAGATCGCCGGGGAATTCGCGTTGAAATTAAAACCGAAAAACGTAATACGGCGATAATAACATGCGGATTAACGACGACGGCGGTCCCGGGTTACGGCCGGGACGCGGGCGCCGTCCGGTGTCGATCAGCTATAAAACGTATGCGGCACGCGCGCGACATTGTTCATTATTCGTAAACGCGCGATTACGAGAACCGTTTTGGAATGTCGTCGTAACGTCCGAACCGACACGCTAGAGCCGAACTCCGGCAAGAGCTCGGCACCGCCAATGCGGGGAAATGCGCGAATTCGAATCGTTCGTCGTTGGAGAAACAACACTGCACTCGCTCCGTTAAAAATCTAAAAGCCGACCAGACGGTTTTTATTTGTAAAACGGCATAATTCCGTTGAACCGGCGTGCAATTACGATAGACGAAATACTCGCGCGGTTGTATAGCAGGCGCCGCGAACAGCGCTCCGACCAGTCCCGAACAATTACAAAATTACGTCGTTATCCGGATTTCGCGGGGCCAATCAGAGAACCGAATCGCGAACCGGTCGCACGAAGCGGCGTGGCCGTGTGCAGCGGCGATGAGACGACACGGCACACAGTCATCAAATACTTGTACTTCAAACTTCAACAGTGAATCGCGCTACTACTGCATATTATAATGAACAACGAAGCGAGTCAGCGTTCAAAAATAAACCGCCCGTTTCGTATTGTCGCAGTCCGGATGATCGCTACGTCCGATCCGGATTCGGTGTTCGGCACTAGCAGATACCACGATATCGAACGGGTGCTCACCCCGGGCAGCACAGGTATGAATGAAACCGTCCCGGAACAAGCGGAACGTGGAAATTCTGCGCGAAAACCGCAGGCCCTCTATACACAACACGGAGCTGCTCAAAAGAAACCGAACTGATTCGTGATTCGAATTACTCATCTGTCGCTAACACAGCGCCGTGCCGTTTCCGTCCGTCTGGTCTTTTCTAGAACAGCCAGAAAGAGTAAAGCTGTATGGAATGGGATGTTTCTCTACGTCTCCTATACCGACTTTACGTTAGTGTTGTACGTTCGTTCGGCCATTTATTTTTCTCAATAGAAGAAAATTAGAAAAAGTAACATGTTAAAAATTCGCACGATTCGACGTGAGTCCGTGTAGGTACGTGACGCGACTTGGAAGTGACTCGACAGTGGGAGAATCGCCCGCAGAAACTGATCACTAACGCGTTAGTTACTAATTTAGTAACCAGTAGCGCCGCATGTCGTGTTCCACTGAATAACATACGCTGTGACTCAAAGCGATTCACGCGGGTAATTAAATGAATAGCTCCGCGCGTAGACGGCCTACAAGAGTACCGAAAAAAAACACCGTACGCGCGTTCCGGGTCTCGTCGTCCGCGGGGAAACGGAACAGGCGATTGTTCCGATACGACGGATCTCGACCGTAATAACGGTTATCGTTGTTATCGTCTCCCGTACGCACCGCACTCGGCTGTACCGCGTAAACGATAACACCGGCGACGGGCCTAACCGCGCCGCGACGTTCCCGTTTCTCGAATCGCGCCACGTGCGCGCGTACAAACGAGAACCGCGGGGAGGGGGCGGGGGCGTTGGAGGAAACGCAATAAACGAATGTGTACTCGTATGCCTACCCGTGCGAATATCAGCGATTTACTTTCGAGACGACTCGCTCGCGGGGTTTCCAGTGCGAACGCGTGTACGCGTAACGCGGCGAGAGAGGGGATAAACATAGAAAACCGTCGTTATTGGGAAATACGAGCTTCGCGTACGAGTATTGTTACGTAGGTATACAGGTATACGAGAACACTCATAAATTCACTTGACAAGCCGGCTACGGCGACGGGTATGCGCGCGTACGATCAGATACGCGGCGCTCCGGCCGGGGACGAACGCGCGTGACGACGTCGCGTCTACAGATAAGAAACGGTCACGACCGAAAGGGTACGCCGCGGAAACGTAAACCGTGTGTTCGAAAAATAAAAAAAATAATGCGCCCGGACGCATTCCGAGGGGCGGCGATGGTACGCATTTGTTTTCGACCGTCTCGCATTATATAGTAAGTCGTACACGGGCCGCCGCCGTCGTTTTACGCGTTTGTTTTTTGTTTGTTTTTTTTTTCATTCTTTTTAACCCTTCTGCGCTGACTCGGTCACGCGCGAATCACAGCGGTCTCTCGTAAAACCGTTTTGAATATTTCGATAGCTATAATTCAAGTACGATTTTTTTGATTTTTTTTTTTTTCAAAGTATTTTTAACACGATATTTGAAATATACGCTAACACAACAATTAATGCGTTTTATGAATTGTTTTTCACGCGAAATTCGACCGTCAATAATTACGGCGAAATAATATTTATGTACGTTCCAATAGTGCGCGACAGCGGCGCGACTTATCGCGGGTAAGCGGGAAAAGGGTTGGGGCCCCCGGTTTTATTCGTCGAGCGTATACACGCGGACACCGCACAAATCTCTGCGGCGGCGACGACGGACGTGGGGGACGCGGTTAAAGGAGAAACGGAGGAGAGGTGACTGAGAAAAAAAAATAAAATATATACGGATTTCTATTCGCGTGCCAACGGTTTCCGCGTGGTATCAATCATAAGACGCGGGGACGTTCGTGGCTCTCGTCGCCAAAAGTTTTCGCGTACATCGGCAAGAGTTTACAATCGCAATAACACACCCGAACGGTTTTTTTTTAAAAACGGCTTTTCAACGGTCCGTCCGTTACAAAACGGGCTCGCGTCACGCCATGTCTGCGCCGGACCCCGGGCGATCAAGGACGGGCCAGACCTTCCGAAAATTGGCAGCTTCGTGTCGGCGGTTCGCTACAGAAAGCGGAAACCTTTGTAGGTGTACGCGCATAAGCACGTGCACGGAGAAGGTGGGAGAAGAGGTAGCCGCCAAAGTATTTTCGAAAAAAAATATGATAAAAATAAAAGAGCTGATAATGGGGATGGGAACGGCCACTGTTGTAGGCGAGAAGTTGGTAAGGTGGGATACATAAGGTTATTTCATTTATATCTGCAAGCAACGATAAACCATTCCTTGACGACGAAAGACGATTCCCACCGCAGTTCAGAAATATATAATTAGAAGTGCCGTAATTTTTTTTTGCGATTTTCGTTTGATTTCAAAACACGCTTATTAAAAAAAAAAAGTCGTCCGATGACTTTGGAAATTTTACCACGTCTAGTTACGTCCAATATAAATATTATTACCATGTTTCAAGTCTTTACGTGTATTTATAAACGAATTAACGCAAAAAAAAAAACTATTAAAAATTAAAATTCCTTAAACGTTTACAAGCGATTCAAACGCTTTGGCGATTACACCATTAGAAAGTTAATCAAAAAGATTACAAAAAAGGTGTCAAGTGATTTTTCGATTTAATTTTTAATTTTTTCTGGTAGAAAACGTCGTCCATGTTTTTATCAAATAATAAAATCGCGAAATTGTACGTTTTCCAATTTTTTTTCCCCACTTGTTTTATTTAAAAAAATGGCGTTGAAAATCAAATAACGACTTATCTAAAATACAACCTAGACAGCTTGAGAAATCAGAAAGTTGGTGAATGTAAAAATCGGAGCAAGTTTACTAGGTAAAAACGTGTCCACAGACTAGAACAAAGAAAAAAAAAAAATAATAAACAGCATTGTAAAACCCGTGTAGCTCCCTCGCTACACCCACCGCTGACGTTCCCGCCTCGCAGGTTTGTTTGATTGACGAAACTCAAGGGGGCTATTCCCCCTTGAAACTCACTCGAGCGCGCGCCCCGCAAATATCATGTAAATGCTTCAAGTATACGACGTACGAAATCGATAATTCTAGTTGATTTCGCGATTTCAATGATTCCCGTCTCCCCTGTTCCGAGGATTCGCGCACGTTTGTAGTCTATACGGCAATTTCGGACGCGTAAAACGGACAGGAGGCCATTGCCAGTCGGCGGCGCACGCCACTGATCGTAGCGTGTATTCTACAAGTATTTAATCCAATAACTACACCGAACGATTACAGTAATTATCGTATGGTCAATCGCCCGCGACGTTTTCTCGTGTTTTAACGGTAAAAAAAAAAAAAAAAAACTATACCCGTCCATCCGCTCGGGAAAATCCAGAAACCCACAAGACTACCAGATACGTCAAAGAAACCGTACGCGACTCGCCGGATCCAAACACATACAGACAAGCGTGCATGTCACTTCGGTACGGTTTTCAAAAAGTGTCACTTCTCCCCCAGCAAAATAAAAAAAAAAAAATACAACAACGGGTCTAGTCCGAAATCCGAATTACACCCGCCGGGTCTTCATAACGCCGGGTTAGTAAAACAGGCGGAGTTCCCGCCCCCCCATCCCCTGCCACCCCGGTTATGACCGAGTGCCCGAGTTGTTAATATTTCGAAAATAATCCGCGTCCGGTTCAACGCGGCGTTTGCAGTGTAAAAAAACATATACGTCACCGTTGTAAAACAATAAAAAAAAAAAAAAAAAAAAAAAAAACGGTAAATCGCGGACAATTTCACGGCGGATTTCACGTAGATTCGGGTTTTTCTTTTACTCCTAATTGCTCGACTGCGCTTTATCCGTCGCGTTATTATTGCGCGGTTCGATCGTTTTGCGGTAATAATAATTTCGTCCTAATGAAACGCCGGCGATCCGACCGTACACGTTTTGATTTTCCAACGGATCCCGCGCAGTTTTTCACTTTTCTCTTTTCGCCGTTCGTATTCGTGACGTTTGCGTTAAGTGTACACGCGCATAACGGTTTAACGGATTTATTTGCATCGGGCTCGTTGATTTTCCCATACGAACCAACGACAGTAATATTTTTTTTTTTTATAGCTCGTGCCGTTTTTACGCGCCCGAAATGCGACCATTAGCGACGAGACCGCGTGGGCAGTTTTGATTATGACGATGAATCCGGTTTTTTTCCCCTTTTTTTAAATATTATCATTACACGAGACAGTGGAACGTGGAATTCGCGTCTTCTATTATTACTGTTGTTTTTTTGGTTTTTGTTTTTGTTTTTTTTGTTTTTGTTTTTCAAGACCACGACGACAAACACGCACACACAATGCTATCGCCGCGCGTTAAGAAAAAGCCGCGTCATTCCCGGCAGGTCCCGGCCGCGTCAAACGTGTAGGTGCACGAGAACTACGAACGACAATAAAGCGTCCGATTTCGTGGCTCGTTCGGTCGCTTTTTTTTTTTTATTCCCGCGGTACGGAAAACAAAAAAACAAATTCGTCAAATCCGACTGTACAAATAATAGTATAATAATAGTTTTCCGCGGACGAGACGAATATTTTTTCGACCGCGAAAACAATGACCGAAAAGTGGCGCGGGGGTAGGGTGTTTGAGGGGCGGGTAGGTCGAAATAAATATGCGCGGTCCGTGTGATGATTGATGCGGCCGGTCGTTATTGAAACACAAAAACCAGTTTTACCTACGCGCGCGTAGGGGTGGCGAGGTCGTCGCTCGAAGACAAAAGGGTTTTATTGTCACGATCTGTCACAACGGGGATGTTCGCGGGGGACGATCCGTCCGAAGTTCGTCGGTCGCATTGATGAATTTATTACCGTTATACTATTGTTATTATTATTTTTGTTTTGATCGCAAACGCCAACGCGAGCCTAACCGCAAACGCGTATCTAACGGTATTATTACAATTACAATTATTGGTTTTTACGGGGTACTCACAGTCGTTCGATGTCGAAGGGCAGATTTTTGGGCACTTCGTCCAGGCCTTTTTTGGAACAGTCGGCCGTCGATTGGTCGCAAGTGCACAGCCACGGGCATCGGACGTTGTCGGACAGATCGTTTTGGTCGCCGGCCCGGGCGCCGGGGCCCAGGGCCGCGACAAACAGGCACAGCAAAACGCCGGGCGCTTTCATGTTGGCGCGCGGCAATGTCGTTACCCGGCCGGGGTGCCGGTTAAAAATTGGAAAACAAACGGAGGATAATAAAAAAAAAAAAAAAAAAAAAAATTAAAAAAAAAAACACACACGGCTAAGTATTCGACGGGTTCAAACGCGCGCTGGCCTCGGGGGTCCGGATCGCGTGGCGTTTAACCGCATTATCGTTGACGGGTGGTCGAATGTCGGCACTGTCCGGAGCGGTGTCGCGGTACTCCGGTAACGCGCGTAAAACGTGGCGCGATAAAAATCACGATCGAAAGTTCGGCGGGCGAACGGTGCGGTCGTGCGAAGATAGCGTGCGTGATACACGGCGCGTCTCGCGTGGTGAACTGGACCGTCGACGACGGATACGGACGGGGGTCGGCGAGACAGCGGCGCGCAACGACCTCTGACGGCGTGCGGACGCACCGCCGCCGTCGCCGCCAACGTCGTCGGTTTGACGTTTAGAGGACCGTCGTCGCGGTACTCGATCTCCTTGATCCTGACAAACGCGTTTTTTTCTTTCGTTCCGTTCTCTGTAGGTAGGTACCTGTAATATTATTATTATTATTATTATTATTATTTTTTTTTTATGTTTATCGTGTCCCGCCGACCCGATAGCCGCTACGGATCGTTACCGGCTATTATTTGCAGGAGGATTACGCGAAAATAATACACCACTAGCTCTTTCCCTTCCTTCCCCCCCACCCTTTAGTCTGACGGTCGAATAATTTCTTTACGGCCCGGGAGGGTATAAGAATAATTTTTAAGAACACTTGTGGTCTACGTCCTTTTCTTCTATGATTTTTTTTTTTTTTTCGTTTTGATTAAATCGCGTTCGTCCCATTCGTATATTGAAATTATTATACACACGAATTAAAATTCTGATTTTTCGGAATTTTCAAGCGCAGTGAAGATTTTTTGCGACATTTTCAGAGTGTCCCTTAGCGCGATACCAAATTCAGTTTTTCAAATAAAATCCTACGTCATGTTTTAACGCAACTTGTCAATCAAGACGATCATTCTAAAAATGCAGTTGGCGCATGTTTCAATCGAATTTCAGGATTAGGATTCAGGTTAGGATAATAACCGTACGGTTCGAAATATGAAATTATCCGTAGATACGCACGATGAACAGCCGATATCCAATCGCGAAAACCGCTACTATCCGTATTTATGCAAATTTAACCGTACAAATGAAAAACGGGACAGACGCTGGACGTACTCAAAAACAATTAATTAAGGGGGGGGCGTGTCCTCCTTATCGCACCCTCGTTTAACCGCCCCTGATCCCCGCCCGTTGTACAAAGTGTAAGCGAGTGTAGCTGTGTAATAATTTTGTCGACCGGACTGCGGATGTTGTGAGCCGTAATAAAACAATTCTGGGCCGTAAAGCCGGGAGGAGGGGCCTTGTCGGACAACGACAGTGGCGTGTTGGTAGGGTGACACGACGGACAACGAGCTAAGAGCCCATGGCATTTAGAAGCACCAAATCACAGCTTTTTCGAATCACCTGAATTTTTTTTCTCATCGGCTTTTATGCAACATTTTACCACGGGCCTTCTAATGACTTCTACAGTCACGCCACTGGAAAACGAAACCGGATTTCGGGTTCACTTAAGCCTTCAGAATATCGATTTTGTACACTGTTATTATGATTTACTCTATTCGGCTGAGTTATTCTATTAGTATTGAACATAATAATATTCTGTTTTGAAAATATACTTTGGTGGAAAATGTCGCGGGGGAGCCAGCTGTCTCTGTCACCTTTTCCGTGCGCGCGTTTACGATTATTATCGAAATAATCGAACGGTATGCGAGTCGTATAGTACCTATAATAATAATATGTGATACGACAATGATAATAATATGATATTTTTTAATATACGCGCGACGGATTTGCATAACAAAGACAATTTTACCGATGAAACTATTAAGACCGAACGCCGATGGCATCGTTAATGTAAAATATAATAATAATATTATTATTATGCTGTCGTGTACCTATCGTACATATTATTATTATATCGTGTATTATATTAATTGTACAACGCAACAATGGCATAATAATTCTATAAAATTACGTTTTTGTATTATTCATTTATTCCATGTCGAATCCGACGTGCGCGTATAGGTATACCGGTATTTCTTATACGGTGTAATAGTATCATATCGCCGAAAAAAAAAAAAAAACAAATAGTAAACAAATGGTAACATTTATCATAGAGTAGGTCATTTGTTTTGATATTTAAATTCCGAATACCCGTCCACGATAGATAATCGCAAATAAAATACGATCGTCGTCAAGCGGATGAATATGGATTATATAAATAATTTTTTGCTAAATGCGACAATGTAAATTTCTAGTCATTTTTTAGGAACTATGTAAAAAAAAAATTACAGCAGATAAAACCGCTGCCAGAAATACGGGTCGCTGTAAATTGCGTTCTAATTATTATATTTGTGGTGTAAATTGCGGCTCGGGTATATATTTTACATATATACGTGAATTACGTTTGCAAAATTGTTCAGACTTAGGACTGGCAATATAATCGTATTAATATTGGTATGTAGAAAATCTCGGTTTTGCTGTTTTTATTTTGATACAATTTAAATATTGTGCAAATAAGAAAAAGGTAAAAAATTGTAAGAAATAATGCAATTTAAATTTAATAAAAACGAACGTTATGAAAAGTGAAAGGAATCGAACGTTGCAAGTGGTTAATAATGATGAATACAAATTTCGTAATCACAAATTATTGCTAAAATATTAATACAATTATATTGCCAGTCCTTAGTCTGAACAATGGGAAGGAAAATCGTCGTTTCGATTTCTAACTTACTTAGCGACAAAATGTGCATATTCCGAGCATAAAGCTCATCCATAAGGGATGACTGTTTTGCTCATCAGCATACAATTGTTAGACCAAACAGAAATGCTTGAAAATTTAATAAGAGGGTCATTATTAGTTGTACTTAGCTAGTGATGAACGAGGAAAAGTCGAGTTTAACGTTTCGTATTCATAAGAGGTTTATATATCGAATTTTGACGAAAATCGTAACGGCCTTTTAAAACGTGTTTAATCGAACTCCGATCAGAATCGTTTTTCGTAAGCAATAATTATAACCGTTGCGTAAAGATATACACATTAAATTCCCCAACATCCTACCCCTTTCAAACTTTTCGCCTACAACAGTGGCCCGCCCGTCGCGCGAAGTATGACGATCGTTTTTATTAGTATAATAATTTATCAAAAACACATCACGAATATTATTTAACCTATTGTTATTCGTACGCGTATAAAACGTTGATTGTTGATATCTATTAGAGGCGATATTTATGAATATCCGTTTTTCGTTGGGATCCTCAAATAGGAAAAAAAAAAAAAAAAATTATAATATCCTCAGTAGATCTCTGCCGCCAAAATAAAAAATTCGTGGCGGCCGAGCTGTATGTTATACACGATAGGATATTACGTTAAACGGTATATTGCATTGTGCGGTCCGGCGTTTAAATGACTCGCGCGTCGCGTTATTGTTTTGTTGTTTCGTTACAGCTTCGCGGAGCTTTTGTGCGCATACACAGGTTAATTGAATCGCATACACGCGCGCGCGAACACGATAGACTACCGACTCGAAATGCAATTATAACACGCGACCATATACGGACGACGACACTCTAAAACGCGATGCAATCGACTAATTGATTCGGTTTCCGTGTATACAATTTGTGTCGGCAAAGTGTGTTTAACGGAATCGCTATACATCGAAAATTGCCAAAATCGGCATGTATAATCGTTTCGTAGTAGCTGTAGTAGCTGCAAACGAAAAAGTCCCCCGGATAAAACCAGATGTTTTATTACGAAACTTTATATCGTTTTTTCGTCTGCGGCGACCCGGTGTCAGAGTTCCCCCTGCGGACCCGCCACTCCGCCCTCAGACCTATACAGACTATAAAAAAGTTTTTACTTCCGCAGTAAATTAATTGTGTAATATAATTACATAATACAAGGTTTTCTAGGTAGAAAATCGGAGCGGAGCGATGGATATATTGATTGTACTACGGTGTGTTTCCGTTTATTTTTTTTTTTTTTTTTTTTTTTTGTTCTGTATATGCGAAGACATTTTACAACAAAAATCTTAACTTAATCAATAAATAAGTGAGCAACGGTTTATCGGAGCTTACAGATATAAATTAAATGACCGTACGTGTCTTACTTTCTCAACTTTTCGCCTACAACAGTGGCTGCTCCCATCCCCAGTATCACCTCTTTTTTTTTTATTTTAGTTTATGTTAAAACCAATTCAGCATTTTGTATGATACCTGTAGCTGGTATAAAAGTTAAATATACGTTTAGCAACTAATCCAGAGCAACGTCCCTCCTAATTATTTAAATTTCACAAAAAATCAACTTACCAACCCTATAAAGTTCAGAAAAAACCGCTTCTAAAAACCATGGTTCGCTACGCCACTGGCAGCAGAGTCACGCCGGCTCATAGAAAGTTAGTGATTTTTTGCGGATACGTACAACATTTAGTACGCCATGTGCACATGTATATGGATATTGGATTTGTACTACGATCGATAGTTGAATTGGGGGGATCGCAAAGAGACGGAGCTCCAATACTATTTTTATTTTGTTTTTAGCGTCACCTCACTAATTATTTCTACCGAGACGGAGGTGGGGAGTACGTCTCTTTGAGTAAATAATGGTGTTTTAAAAACATTTTTTTTTACCCTCTCGTCAACTCTAATAAATTTTATGGAAATGTATTGTCTAGTAATAATGTATTAAGTTTTTTTTGTTTTGCATGTGTGCGGCTTAGTATAATTAAATAAGTAATGATAACCGATAAAAATAATTAAAGATTGCTAAACGATAACCGAGCGTTTCCGATTATTTGAGGTGCACAATTGTAACTGTAAAATTATATAGCCCTAATTATTAATAAATAATAACGACTGTTGGTCTGAACATTTTTATGTTCTATGGATTATGTTACATATAGTAAATTATAGATTTTTTTTAAAAAAAAACTTATGTGTTAGGTTTTGAGAGAAAAGCACTCATGAGTTGGGTTGAAATCAATCATTTCTAGGGTTATTCCTTTTTTTTAGATCTCTTTTATTTTTCCAATTCAAGCACTAATTTATTACGACTAACGCCATCATTTGTACGAATTCTTGAATACAAGAACCTTGGATTGTAAATATATTCAAAAAAACGACTAGAAGACGATTGTTAGTAATTAGTTGAACAATTTTTAACCATCATCACCGTATACAATATTATGACCTCAAAACATATTAAACGAATCGGTAATGTTTTAGTAGTTC